TTTTTCAAGGATCTCATCTAAATTAGTATTATAGAGTTTATATCACTACATGTACCAACTAATAATTGGTGGCCTTCAAGTGGTTTTTTTTCACAAAAACTACTCAAAGGCATAAAATTAACCACTAATTTTCAATAATTGTTTGTCAAGTGTAATGGGCATTAACTAGTGAGGGATAGTTTGAGAATTTATTATGGATGTTGTAAAATTAGCCAAGAGATTACAAGGAACATAAATAAATGTCTCAAATTGTATAAAACTATAATTGATTTGAAGATATAAATTATATAATATACTCGAGACGGGTAACTTGTCTCATGAATCTAGTCAATATAACATGCAAGGTTAATGCCTTAAAATTATCCAAAAAATTGTAGATTGTAGATGCCTCCTTGATGATAACAAAATATCTCGTTTGGAGCTGTCCTATGTCTTCCTTTATTGTATTACAATACTTGTAAAAATATAATTTAGAAGTTTTAACTCTCTTAAACAATTCATGCTTATAAAGTTCCTTGATATCAGCATCATTAATATGGCTTGCTCTTATATAATATAATAGTGTGATATCTTACATTATATTATTGGTGTCATTGGTGATGCTTCACCGATAATTGTGCTTCCCTCAAGTTTGTATCTAGTCTCATAGTTTTCTTTCTTTCATCACCATGAGCCTCCCTGCAAATTATTAAGGTTCCATTTGAAGTCATAAAACTGCAACCATTTGAATCTAATATTTTAAAGGTAATTAAATTATTCTTGAGATCAAATAAATGTTTCACATTTTCTTAAGTTCTCACAATTTCATCAAGTATCGTGATTTTGATCGCACCAATTCTAATGAGCTTACATGAAGTCTTGATGCCCATATTAACACAATCCAAGTTAATTGTTTTAAAGTGTCAAAGTAGTTAGTATTGTGATGTATGATTTGAACACTTTAAATCCAAAATCTAAGAATTAACCAATTCATCTATAATAGTAAAAAAAATAACATTTCACCACCATTATTTTCTATTTCTCCTTTTGCAACATCTGTTAAATCAGAAGAGTCCCTTTTACTATTTTCTCTTTAGTTTTTCTTGAGGCAATTTATCTTTAAATGTTCCTTTTTTATGACATTTTTGACTTTTTAAGTTAGTTGGCTCTATATTTTGACTTATATTGTGATTTCTTCACCTTAGTAGACTTTTCTCTTTTCTTTGACCTTCCTTGTTCTTTTCCCTCATTGTTTATCAATCTCCATAAATCTCTCACTTTACATATCATTAGAATTCACCTTCATTTTGATAATATTACGACAATATTTATGTTATCTCTTCACTTAAATTGTTTAATTTTCATACAATAATGTTGAAAATGTTCATAGGAACAAGAGAGATAATTAATAAGAAATACTCTTATTGTTATACACATATTTTACATCAAATCTCAAAACATTACTTACAATATATCACTTACAATCTGATACCATAATCTATATACCACATATTTTACTGCAAGTTCAGCACCCTCAACCATCTTCAGCTCATGTAGTTTTCATTTGACAAATAACTTGATCATCAATGGCTTTCACATATAGCTACTTTCTAATTTTGCTCAAATTTCAGAGGGTGATTTCACATCAAAGACATAATAGAAGATAGTCTACTAATACTTTCAACTTTCATTTCAAGTAGCATCTAATAATAATATATGATATTTTTAGGTTTATTTTGTTAAACCAATAGATATTTCGCCCTATGTTGCCATCATTTAAAATTAGAAAACCCATCAAATTGTGATAAAGAAGTACTCATCATTTTCTCTCCCTAGTTAAATCTTAAGATTTGATATCATTTGTTGTAAAATTAGTCAAGAGACAACAAGGAACAAAAAATAAATGTCTCATGTACTATTCACATGAAATCAATTTGAGGATAGAAATAAAATAATATACTTATAATAGGGGTAATTTGCCTCAAGGATTTAATAGATATGGTCTGCAAGATCTACCAAATGATTTACTATTTAGTGTCTTAAAATTGTCCAACAAATATTAGATTCCTAGACAATAATAAGACACTGCATCTATAATTATCTAATGTCTCCAAGTCAATTTTCTAAATGTTAAATTCTTGTCCTCTAGTATAACTTACACCATGTTCTCTTTTTAGGATCTAATAACAATCATTGTCTTTTTTTTCTCTTTCTTTACCTAACTACTTTTGTAACAAGCTTCAGGTCATTGTCTTATTCCATTAGAATGTCAGCACTTGAAAGCTGAGAGATGTTGGATACAGAGGGGATGTTAGAGTTGAGAAAGAATAATAAATCACAAGAATTTTCAATTCTACCTAAATCAACATTCCCAACAAATCTTTAACCCTCTCTTCTCAAAGAAAGTTATGCAGCAATGCCGCTTGTAAAGCTCTTTCATCGAGTGCACAATCATGACAGGACTAGAGGAAGAATTACCCTTTTGTATGGGCTAAAAATCATCCCAAAGGGGCCATACTCTTCTATTATGAGGCATGTTCTCAGCCCAAAATTATTGAGATATTTGACAATATCTCAATAGGTATGTCTCCCTAATAAATAGGAGGCTCCCATCGTCCTATTATGTAGTATGAGAATGGTATATAGGTGACTTCTTCCTAACAATATTTCTCTTAGTTAGAGGGAATCTCTCTTCTGTGCAAAAACTTCTCAAGCCCTTCAAGAATGGAAGAAGGCTGTTTGAACATCAAGCGAGCGTCCAAAGCCACACATGGTGCAATAAGTGAGGTACAGATTTTCTTCGTCTATTCAATTGTATGACACTTTGAGTGTCGGATAGATGCATGGCCTTCATGTTCCGCCATTGAGTAACCACTGTGAGTTTTTTCATAACAAGAAGAGAAGTGCTTTAAGTAGGTCCCTCAACCTATCCATACACCATCTCAAGTCTCCTCTAGGGTTGGTGACTAAAACTTTCTAGTGGTTATTGACATGATGCATTGAACGTAAGAGCTTTGAAGTTGAGGTGAGACATATTACTGTTAATCAATAAAATCCTCCTCCAGCATGAAGATTTTTATGCAAAAGTTTTTATTTAACATCGAGTGTTTGATGTGATCCCTGAATCTCTATTTTGTACAGACATTGAACCTTCAATAGTCATAAACGTCCCATTGACTATTCGCAGATTCTTGATGATTAATTCACCTTATCTTGTCATGGTTGACCTTCTAAGGCTGGCTACTTATCTTTAAGATGAGTGAGGACAGACCATTGACTATCCGATCTTAAATTCTTGGTTCCTTATGAAGGTAAGAGCAAAAGTATGCGCATATCATCATCAATGCATGATCTGAAAATATGATATAATCATATGAAATAATGTGATATCTATTTATCTTTTCTCTTTGCAGATTGGAGCCTATGATTCATAAGAAATTGGCCCCACCTGCCATGAGCACGAACTGTTTGTGGTCCCCTATCACAAAATCTCTTGAAATCTAAGTGAAGGGGGGACGAGTTTTATTGGGCAGGCACAAGATGAGATGAGTAGTGGAGAGTGTCGCTATACAAGACGATATGACATTGATCAGAACCAGGATTAGCACGTACGTTCCGGTCAAGTGTGATGGGTATTCATTGTGTCTAAATAAATAGATGGAGATGGGGGGAGAGAGAGAGAGAGAGAGACGTTGCCCTCACGATGATTCCAGCCGTGAGTTGGAGTTGGCAGTATGAAGTGGGCTCATCCCCAGCTAACTAATGCGGGCCGTCCATCAATGCGAGTTTGGGTGGATGGTAGATCACGGGGACCGCCAGGGTCGAGATCATTCCTTTTTCTTCCTTTCGGGTCGGAATCAACAAGCTGGGCCCCACAAGCGGGACTCTTTCATAGAATTCCAATAATTTATCCCGGGCTCGGGCCGGGAACATCTGCGGGCCCCACTTCCTCCGGGCTCGGGCCGGGAACATTTTAGGGGAATGATCCCTTTTGCTACTATTGACGCCACCCAGATAAATTGATAGCTGGGCTTGTCTTATCCACTGCCCGGAGCATGGGAAGAGAGGGAGAGCGCGACCCGGCTTTTACGGTCCAGACAGCGACTCGTTGAGTTAGCTGCCGAATCTTCCGAGTGCTTATCCCGTGTTGTCGTCATCTCTTCCTCCCTCCCCCCAACCCCCCGGAAGGAGGTTAGAAGAGAGGGTTATCGGGGGCTGACGTGGAGGAGCCGTGTGGTGCAAATCCAGAACAGCATGGCCGCCAGATCCTGGCTTCCTCCGGGGACGACGACATGCGATCCCCCTCCCGACAGCAATTCCTCGTCTTCCTCTGGCGTTTCCTTCTTCCTCCGGGGCTCTTCCTCTTCTTCTTCTTCTTCTTCTTCGTCGTCGTCGTCTTCATCTTCCTCCTTCCCACGGCTGAAAACCCTGACCGACCCTTCTTCCTATCTTCCTCGCGGATCCAACTAGGCGGAACCCGATCAGAATCTTACTTTCGAGAGAAAAGATAGCAAGGAACACCGCGAAATGTTGCTGAGGCGTTTTAGTGTCGCAGAGAAGCTGCTCTGCCGCGCCGTTGGAGGCGGCACCTCCCTGCTGAAGGTCGGGCGGGCAGGATTCTATGCATGTTTCTTTCTCTGCCTTCCTACGTAAACGGGCGGCGATCTGTTAGATTTTTGACAAAAAAATAGTGTTTTCTGACAAGTGCTTGATTCACGCCAGCTCGGTGGCTGCTCTTTGTTTACATCCCAAGCGGCGGCCGCACCCTTGCAACAAGAAACCAGACCCGCTTCTAGGTGTCCATCTCTCTCTCTCTCTCTCTAACCTCGTCTTCTTGGACCCTCCTGCTGAACATTTCTATCTCTAGTCCATACCCAGCCCGGTAACCTGCGAGGTCTGCAGATTATCCCTGTCCCCTGTTCCCACTATCTTCCATGTTGTCTTTTTCGTCGTGAAGCTGCGAGGAGTACGCCGATATCAACTGGGACGAGCTCGGGTTCAGCCTCGTGCCAACGGACTACATGTATTTAATGAAATGCTCCGCGGAGGAAGGATTTTCGCGTGGGGAGCTCAATCGCTATGGAAACATCGAGCTGAGCCCCTCAGCAGGGGTTCTGAATTACGGCCAGGTGTTGAATTGACCAGGGAATAATCACATGTCTATATACAGCTTGGGCATGACTTTATGGAGATGATGATACTCTGTTCTTGGTAAAACAGGGACTGTTCGAAGGCTTGAAGGCCTTCAGGAAGGAGGACGGCAGGGGGCTGCTGCTCTTCCGGCCGGAGGAGAATGCCATGAGGATGCGGATGGGTGCCGAGAGGATGTGCATGCCTTCCCCTTCCGTGGAGCTGTTCATTGACGCCGTGAAGCAGACCATCCTGGCCAACAAACGATGGGTCCTCTCTCTCTCTCTCTCTTTCTCTCTCTCCCCCCCCCCTCCCCGTTTTGCCTTCTTGCTGATGGGTGGTCGGAGCAGGTGCCGCCGCCGGGTAAGGGGGCGCTGTACGTGAGACCACTTCTGCTGGGGACCGGGGCCGTGCTGGGGCTGGCGCCGTCGCCGGAGTACACCTTTCTGATCTACGCTTCGCCGGTGGGCAACTACTTCAAGGTGCGGTTCCGCTCCTTTGCCCGTCTCTGTTTTCTTTTCTCTGTTCTTTCTCCTCCTTTCCGGGAATCTTCTCCCATCTGATGCTTCCCTCCGGTACTAAAGATGGTTTCTCTTAGAAGAGGGAGAGAGAGATTCTAATTTTCGTTGTCTCACAGGAGGGCTTGGCTCCAATACACCTGCTCATCCGAGATGGAGTCCACCGTGCCACTCGAGGTGGAGCTGGGGATGTGAAGACAATCGCCAACTATGCACCGGTGAGAAGAACATCCCCTCTGATCTTTTATTCATTCCTTTTTTATGAGAAGGCGATCGAGTATAGTTCTTTCCTTGCATAGTTTACGCACTTCATATCTGATGAATATTATAGAGATTATATTTACAAGTAAATTCCTATGCCGATGTTTTACTTAAGGATTCAGTGATATAATTCAATAGATCTATAAGCTCTTGATCGGTGCGATTCTGCGAGGAAATGGCATGCATGGCATCGATCGATACCCAGAATCAATCTAACTAAAAAATTGAAAATTCAAGAATTTTTTTTTGAACAGGAGCTGTTCTTGCGGCTCCAGGATAATATTCATACTAATGTTTCTCCTTCCTTCCTTCCTTGTAGGTTTTGAAGGCGCAGAGGGAAGCTAAGGCTAAAGGGTTTACAGAAATCCTATTCCTCGACTCTGTGAACCAGAGATATTTAGAGGAAGCCTCCTCCTGCAACATCTTCCTTGTCAAGGTAGGCCGACCAGGAAATTTTTATAGCGGGATTATTTTATAAGAAAGATGCTTCCTTTATTTAACCAAAACCAACGAATTATGTTCTTTATTGCTGGTGATTTTTATTTTATTTTTTTAATATGATTCCGGTGTGAGGATAGGGGGTTATTTTTTATGGTACCCTCGGCAGATGAACAGAGGGGGACCCATTTTAGGCTGATTCAAGCGGTCTGAGTTACCATTTTGGGATGATATAATCTCTCCTCTGACAGGGTGATGTGATTTCCACTCCGGCAACAAGAGGAACCATCCTTGCTGGTGTCACACGCAAGAGCATGATCCATATGGCTCGCAGCCATGGATACCAGGTCTGTAATGCCGTCCATTGCTGAAATCTCTGATGTGTTTCGACGAAGATCCATTGCTCTCAAAATAGAACTGGGTTTTGACCAATTAGCCGGGAATTGACCCGGATTTTCTCGGGTTTTCTTCGATTTCTTGGATTGTATCGATCCTCTTTGATGAATTACTGTGGATAATCAATCAGAATTCTCTTCTTGCGAATGGATTCTGGGCCTGGATGAGAAATATAATTCGAGGGAGCTGTTGGTTTTATCCTTTTTTCGTTTCTAGATTCGACTCGGGGAGACCTAGCCGTTGACCAAGTTCATGACCCTCCCCTCCCCCTTTTTTCCACGCAGGTAGAAGAGCGGCTTGTGTCCGTGGATGAATTAGCTGACGCAGACGAAGTCTTCTGCACCGGAACTGCCGTGGTTGTTGCACCTGTGGGCAGCATAACCTACAAGAACAAGAGGTACTCTCTCTCTCTCTCTCTCTCTCTCTCTCTCTCTCTAACTCCAACCCCTCGATGAAGTGGCGGGCTTGGCTCAGTCCGTATTTATCTCTATTGCGCCAAGTGTTGACTTAGATGAGGGTCAACTCTGAAAACTCTGACGGCCATCTCTCCTCTTGTCTCTCTCTGACGGCAATCCAGTCAATAAGCTTTCAATCTATGGTCGTAATATGGACATAATTGTGGTTTTAGTAGCTTCAAATTTGATCCGAATTCAGTAATCGTTATCTAAGATTGGACCCAAATTTATTTATTTATTTGTAAATTTTAATGAAAACGTGAACTTTGACGGCGCAGGTTTCAGTACAAAACTGGACCGGAGACGATCGGGCAGAGGTTGTATACGACACTCACGGGCATCCAGATGGGCCTCTTACCGGACGATATGGGCTGGACGGTCGAGATTGACTGAGATCCATCCTCCCTCCCACCCGCGTAAGCGAGAGATGGGGAAGAGGTCCCATGTATCTATCAGCATCATTCGTAATAAGGCCAATCCAATGCTTACAGGTGGCCCTGGGCGGGGCCGATCTCGATCAGAAGATATGTGGCCCATTTAGGCCCATCTTTGTTGACTGTCCACGGAATGGGCTCGCTGTCTGGGCCCCATCTTGTGGGGAATTATACAAAAAGGCAATCATATACACAGTACATTCCGATCATCGAAACGCAGCTCTCTGTGCGAAGAGAATTCTGGGCAGCAATGGGCGTACGTATAACCCCGGGCTACCCCAATCCTGAAATGGGCCAATTTCGGCATTTCAGAGGGCCTGATTCCGCAGCCCAGTATCTCGCATCATCTCTCTCTCTCTCTCTCTCTCTCTCTAACAGACGTACAGATGACGGAGTCCTATCCACCCTCTTCCTCTTTCCCTCTCTCCCTCTGCCCCTCTCCCCCTCTTTTATTGTCTCAGCTTCTCTCGACCTCATGTATATGTGCAACTTTTTGATGCGTAGCAAAGGGTTTTACCTTGGATTAGTCCCACCTGGCTCGTATTCCCACTAAATTAAACCTAGATAATGAAAAACGAAGCCGACCAGAGCATTCAGGAGGGTGCTTCTATGTATAGGTTAAAAAAAATGCCACCATCCCCCCCCCTAAACTGTCGTATTTTCTTCAATAGATCAGTCCCCGATGCTCCGAAACTAACCCCCAATGATTTGACTTCCTCTATCGATCCTATTTTTTAAAAAATAAATAAAATCTCTAAATCAATACATATTTTGCATGATACCAAGAAAAAAAAAAAACAATTTATGGGGGCAGAAAAGCTAGTTAACCCTCAGACATATAATATAGCCAATGAAGTCTTTTGTGGCAATAAGCGTTCACAGTACTGAGCACGATATTTAAATAGCTTAGATAAACTTCATCGGATCACAGTATTACCTAGAAAACCTTCTAGTGTTACAGTAAAGCATGATAAACCCAAATAAGATATGTCAAGGCAACGCCCCCCTTGACTGGTCCAGCGGATTTGGTTCCGTAGGCACCGAAAATCAACACGCAGAGAGACTCACAATAGATAATAAGAATGGAAGAGGGGGCTTAAAGACAAGATAAATCTCTTCAAATAGCAAGCGAAGATGAGACAGTGTAGTGTGCATGTGGAAAGGGCGACCCACTTGGTAGAACAAACAGCGAAAATGTTGAAGCCGGAGAGCGTGCTCTAACATGAAATCGCCACAATTTGGTGGATTCAAGGACATCTTAGCCTTGGCGTGCACTGCTACGGGCCGCGGGGGGAGAAGGGGGAGAAGGGGGAGGAGGAGAGGAGAGGGTGGTGGGGTTCATCTAAACAGGGATCACCCAGCCAGAAGAAGGTAGGATGCAGAGGGAAGAGAGAGGCGGGGAGAGAGAGAGAGAGAGGGGTCATCTTAATCAACCGGTGGAGATTTAACGGATTGAACATCTAAAAAAATAATGACCGCATAGGCCTGATGGATCAGACGAGACTTTCCGGGGTGGGGTGGGGGGGAGGCAGTTTAGTGGCGGGCGGGGGGGGGGTTAGGGCTCAGGGGAAGGACTTGGGGTTCAAGTGGAAAACCTGGCAGGCCGGCTTGTAGGACCTCTTGGTTGCGGCCTGCTCGAATTTCTTCATAGCAACCTCGTTCTCCTCCACGCCCACCTGAACGAAGTATCTTATCCACCATGAGGAGCTCCGCAGCTTAGCCTACGGAAAAGGACACCCGAATCGTGTCAAAGTCTCACAAATTTATTGATGAATATTTCAACGAAAACTGGGGAAGGGAGAGAGAGAGAGAGAGAGAGAGAGAGAGAGAGGGGGGGGGGGGGGCAAGCTAAGTGAAGCAATGGAGCAATAAGACGAAAGGCAAGAAAGGGTTTGCGACAGATAGTGAGGAAATCATGTAGTGAGAGCAGTGCACAGAGGAGTCGCTATTGTGACAAGAACTCACTGGTTTTCCAAATCTGGATAGATCTGGAACTTTGAGACTCTGCTGACCAGGGTAACCTGCATTTAAATGAACCCAAGCAAGAAGAAGATCACCATCAAAGAACCACTTAGGACTCCCCAAATAATAGATAAATTGTAGTATTTAATAACACCTAGATGTCAACTCTTTGTATATGCGCATAATATCTAAAATTCTGAAATTCTAAAACATTAGCTTGTGAGCAAAATACTGCTGAAGCTTTACCAGCAAAGACCACAACACCGTCCACCGCTAATGTTGCCAAGTGTGGAAGCGTCTTATTGAGGTATCTTGGAGATAGATAATCCAACGCATCAGAAACAATGACCAAAGAGAAAGATTTCTGTCTGTAGGGCAGAGGAAACTTGATATCAGCAACACGAACAATGCCCTTGCGCACGAGGCTCTTGCAGCTGCCGTCAGTATCTTCGAGGTCATATGGTTCCACTCCCCAGGCTTCAGTATCTTCTTCCTTCAACAATTTGGAAACCACAGAACAAGTGTCGGGGCCTACATGGAGCACCTTATGCATGCTATTGCCATAGACCTTCTGTAGAAAAGGTATGGCTCGTTGAACTTCTGAAGTGCAGGAGGCACCTGCTCATATCACAAATGAACCGGTGGAAATGTTTAACTGAGGAATGCAAAAGAGTGTAGCGCTCCAAGACATGATGATGCGAAACACAATGGAATTCTCATTTACAAGTGTCCGTCGTTGCCCAAGGAGTACAAGTTATTCCAGATAGACAAATGTGGAAGAAATAAAACAAGGAGTCAAAATGCGACTAATTTATATCAACATATATCAGCTAGGACCGAAAACAGTAATGATCCTTTTCAATGGAATGAGATGTCAGATGAGACTAGAACCTGTTATGTTTCAAAACTGTTTAGGTTGAGCACACTGATTCAGACCTCATTTGGGAATTTATCTCTCCCGTCAGTGGGCACGCAAATCAAGGTATTTAGAATTCGACTATATTGTGTCATCATTGCCTTGGACACCATCTGACAATCATAAAAATTATCCCATGTATTCATTATAGAGAAAAAAATGGACCTCCCTCCCTGCTTGAGAGGGATAATCCTGCTGAAGATAGGGAAAACCCGAGGACAGGACATTTACAGCTAGCCCTCACAAGTCTGATTTCAACACTGTGGCCAACCAAGCCATAGAATGCGTCCTAGTTGCCAACAAAAATCTACTGGGACAAAATTAGTGCTCGGGTTGACTTCTGGTCATAGCCAGATAGTAGTAAACAAAAAAATCATCCACAGTAAAAAGAAGGGATAAACGAAGGACATTTTGTTCAAACTCATAATTATTTGATAGACCAATATCTGTACAAGAATCAGACGAATCCTGAGCACCTCCTTGAATCATATCATATGTTCCATGAAACGAAAATAGGCAAGCGTGAATCCTCGTACCTAAAGGACTACCATTGTCATTACAGTCTAAAACGTGCGCATAAAATAAGAATAAAATATGCAGAGTAATCTGTTGAATTATCATAAATCCTACGATCACACAATATAGACCGGGACTGACGTAGAACAGAAGGGATCAGTAGAAGGTTACTTTTTGTCCGCCTAATTCATCTTTATCTCTCGCTTTCCTTGTGGATGCAAGGTTCTTCTCTACTCTTAGGCTTCTGCTATGTGATGAACCATACATGGTGGCCATTAAATTGGACTTACTCGGCCGCAAAGGAAACAGTACATTTGAAAATGAGGCGTATCAAACCACTTCGACAGTTCTCATGTATTCTAGTGTCCGTCAAAATAAACGCAAAGTTTCCACACCAACCATCTCCATAGGGATACACAACACTCAACTAAAAAATAAATTAGAACCATCAGTCTAGAGCAAGTTTCTGGAATTAATTTTTCTCTTTCACTAGATGAGAAGAAGAAAAGGTGTTCTTTTTTTTGAGAATTTTCTTTTTTTGAGAAAGTGAAGAATCCAACCCCAATAAATATGCTTTAAAAATAGGAGGAAGCTGACCTTCATCTTTTATAGCTTCTCTAACAATGCCAAACCCACCTGCTCATAACGAAAACTACTATTAGATAATCAATACGAATGTACCCCGAACTACTATTAAATAAAATGGCATGCATCAAGTAGCAGGGCATAAGAAACCAAGTTTTAATACGTCTGCAATATAGCACAGCTTATAAATCAAACTTCGTTATATGATGTTAATTAAAATTCATTGCGTGAGTGTTAATACAAACCTGACCCGCTATATGAATACCAGATAAGGAGAAAAACGCCCTGAAAATTGAAAAACGATCTGTCAATATAGCAGCAGAAAAATATGTGGGATACGGAGACAATATGGTTATGAAAGTTCGAAACAGCTTTGGTTTCGTGAAGAATATGGATTGATTATATTGAGGCATACCCCAAGAACCAGAACAACTGACAGGAGTGGTGAAGTCCGAGACTTTTGGTGTAATGAACCTGCAAATGGAACACTTGAGGTGTCTGGTAAACGCCTGCTAGGGTTCACAGGTCTCCTTGACATTGTCGCCGGATCAGGATGCCAGACGATCTAGGATACTTGAACTGTCACAAACGCAAGAGTTTGGTTCACTAAGTCCTGGAAACATTGTGCATGTTCTTGATCGAAAAGAAAATGACTTCGCTACGATCACTTACATGAGGAGGCATGAAATAAATCAGTGAAAAATAAAATCATCGCAAGACCAATGCAGGTCGTGTATATAAACTAAAATGACGCGAATGTCTCAGCGACCAGGAAAGCGTCAAGCATTTATCCCAAGGCCTGTCGATTGGAATCTACAGGACATTCATTGCATTGCTACGCTACAAAAGAATGCCTTAGCCCAGGATCCTATTCGAAGACCGATCTTGAGCTGGATCTCATTCGGAATCCTATTGGATTCGGAATACAGAAAAAATACAGAAAAATTACTGGCATTCTCCAAGATCGCCATCCCACGAGCAGATCACCGTCGCACCGCGACAAATCGAACGCGGACGAATCACCTGACGTCGTCATCTAGGGTTTTGGAGGCCAGATAATTACCTCCAATGTCGAGATCAGATTGCACTGCTCATAGATCTGGGCGCAAAGCGATCAGATCTGGAGATGGCCACCACGTCCACGCCTCACTCAAGAGATACACCGACACAAGAGAGGAGGGCGTTAGATAGAGCTCTCTAAATCCCAGCTCGCGCCCCCTGATTTATAGCATTCGCGCGCCACCACCCTGAGGAATGAGGTACGGCTGGCAGTCGGCGGGAGCCCAAGGCAGATGTGCGAAGTTCCATTAACTGGCATTTCGATCGAGGATACCCAGCAATCGAACGGTGAGATCTTCCCGACAACGCTTCACCGTTGGATCCCAATTACGTGGTTTTCCCACCTCTGAAGAAGAACGTTCCCTACTTTTCCGGTGCTGGGCCTGTAAGGTATGAATAGGCCCAATTAGAATTATTTCACGTGGTAACCATGTGGCCTTGATACCCTAAAATTCCCCCTTTCGGGAACCATTCCGCAAAATGCATTCTTCTTCTGTAAATGATGAAATTAAAAGATAAATTCTATCTAATTTTTATTTACCACAATTTTCATTAAACCGAGAATACGCATAGAGATAGAGAGAGAGAGAGAGAGAGAGGAGTTGCCACGTCGACAACTGCGGAATAACCGCAAACGTATGGGTTCTGCAAATCCGGCCTAGGCCTGGTGCATACGAGGGCGGGCCGAAATCTATTTGTTCATCTCCGGCCCAAGCCCATACAAAAGCGGGCCAGGCCGAGCTCTGGGCTTCTTAAAAGCCCACTTTAAAACACTACTCAAGATTCTTGATAAATCGGAATCTCCCGAAGCGATTTTTCTCATTCTCCCGAAGAAAATGAGCTCCACAGCTGGCTATCCTTCAGCTATCTGCTCCTACGGTGACCTGAGGGGGCCTCCACTTGCGGTCAAAGGGCCCGGAGGAGCTGCCTCTTTCTCGGAATGACTTCTGCGAATCTAGTTTCTCATCAATGAGGTGGAGCAACTCCTGTAGGCCCACGCCTAGCACTGCAGAAGTCTTCACATGGTGCGAATCCTGCTTGGATAGGATGCATTCTTGGAATTCATTCTGTTGGCGTTCATCCTCGCCGATGGGCCCTCCAGGTGATGCCCAACATGCCGCTTCCTCCTCTGTTGAATGGTCCTCAGAAGGGCCATCATCATGTTCTTGAGATGAGCCACTCGTCTCTGCATCCAAATCCTCATCTCCATTGATCCCATCGTCTTCAGATGCTAAATCATCCTCAGACAGCTCTGATGTCGTGCTCCAGTCAGCAGTTTTATGGTCTCCACCTTCACCTTCGAGAAGATCGATCTGCAGAAGTCAGCGGACATCAGATTTCTTTCCATATTAGGAAATATTTCCGATTATGAACCGTGGGCATGTTTCAAAAATGGGAAATCAGAAAAGCTGTAAAAGGGGGTACTTTATTCCAGACTTCGATCATATCTTGGATCTTTTCTGGGGAGACCCCGATCTGGTGGAGCACTTGGAGGACGGTTGACCTTTGCTCGTCAAGATTCACAGCACTGGAATCTAGCACATGCTGCACCAATTCCAATTATGCAGAGGACATTATATTCTAAGGATTTCTCCTTGTTTTCATAGAAATTGCAGGCATCAAAGAAGATAACAACACATCCATCAACAGAAAATTGAAAAAAAATGGAAATTTAATAGAAAAATAACATGTATTAATCAAATTGTTAATATTTTCTTCTGTTAAGATGAAATTCCTGACGTTTGAGCCAATAATATTTTGACAATTAATTCCTGTCTGCGCATGGAGTTGACTCCCCTCCTTCGTTGACTTTAGGCAAAAGAAAAGACTGACTCATCCCTCCCTCTTTATTTTGACCTTATTTTGGCTGATTTGGGAGCAACAGAAACCGGGAAATACTTGTAAAAATAAACCATTTGGGTTGTATTTAATAAAGCACTGAGACAGATCATTGTTCATGATGTAAGTAAGAAAGTGAGATGGCAAGGGCGATAGAAAGCGAGGCATTCAAATTTCTCATACCACCAGGAGATCTGCCTCGACAACTTCTTCCAGCGTTGCATGAAAAGCTTCCACTAACTGCAGATAACACCACTGTGAGATACCATAGCAGAAAAGTGTCGTCCAATCCGAAGTCATGGTGAGAGATGGAAATTCACCTGCACTGGGAGATCAGAGATGAAGCCCACTGTATCACTGAGGAGCGCCTTTTTACTGCCAAGGAATGATGTGATATCCTAATCAGACTACAACCTAAAATACATTAAAGCTTTCCCCTAGTAGACCCATAGAACCCTAGATCATTAACAATTCACAGTGGCGTTACCCGGAAGGGAGAATCACACTTCTCAAACGGGGATCAACAGTAGCAAACAGTCTGTGAAACAGAGTTTTTTCCAATCAGCTCATACTACACGATCAAGCAGCACAATATCATGATCCACAAGAACCATTATAATTTTAAGTGAAACTATGTCAGAAAAAAGAAAGGAAAGAACATCAATGCCTACTAGAGCAAAGAAATTGCAGATAGGATACCGGTCATCACTGTATACATCACTTTGTGAAAGAGCACTAACTAATGTAGACTTTCCCTGAGAAATCACCAAAAGAGAAACAAAATACTTCAATTGTGATTGATCTTTTGCACTTTTTTTTTTTTTTTACTAAAATTGATACTAGATACAGAAATCATGCATTCAGGCGTCAAAATTCATGGCCGTGAAAATGTGCAATAAGCCGAAGCAGCGTTTTCCTAACCAGAAAACACGTCTGGGGGCAAAAAGGCAAGCATACTTCTAGGGGTCAATAATGAGAAAAGCTTACGGCATTAGTATACCCAACAACAGCAACAGTTGCTAGGCCTTGACCATCAGAGCCACCATGCCTCCTCCGAGAAGAACGTTGCAAGGCTCGAGTTCGACGAACCTCACCAATTTGTGCTAGTAAATGAATACGACGCTCTTGGATTCTGAATATTTATGCAGGAAAAAATAGAAAGAGATGAGCTTTTCATCTTTTATCCAGAATATAACCAATTACCCCCACCACAAATGTGAAAGGAAAACGAAAACCACTGATAATGTTGTGGATAAAGAGAACAGGACTTGTATGGTGTTATCCTGGAAACAGTAGACACAACGACAGTGCTACCAAAATCCTTGACAAGATCAAATGATTACCAACCGAAAGATAATCTTATTCATTCCATCAATCAATAGCTGAGATGCAAGAGATACTACAGCGTAAATTGATAATTGCCACAGGCATCGTAAATATTACACAATAAACTATAAAAAACTTTAAAAAGAAAAGAAGCATGAGACCTCCGACGTTGAAGATGAAGTTCAGACTCCCCAGCACCACTGATAAAACCACGTCCCCCACTTCCCCTCCTGCATGGAGAGAAAAAAAAGAAGGCAAAATACGTTACAATCTCCAAAGAAGAATGAAGAGCTGACCTACATTTAAGAATATCTGCTTTTGAAGAAATTAATTACCACGAGAATTTGAGACAAGCCTTATTTATTGAGAAACTTCAGATAACTACTTGGTCCCTAATTGCATAGATTGAATGGTTTCAATTAAAAATTTAGAAAATCACGAAAGTAAGCTTATACTACCCAGGTTACATCCATTTGAATATGCAAGACGGTTTTTTTATTACATCATCAGAGGTGTCTATAGCCTCCAGTTGCACTCACCCACGGGCACTGACCACCTCAGCTTCTCCAGATGCTCCAAAAGAAAGACGTCCGCCTGGTCCACGAATGCGCACGAGCCTGGTTTTCTTGTACATCAATGCTGCTAACTCAGACTACCAAAGAGATGATGATTTATCAGGGGAAAAATGAAACCGAAGGTAGTAAGCGTTAATCATATGCAAGGGGAATCATTCATACGTCAATAAGATGGATGTGTAATGAAGGTGATTTCATATGGATTAGACAGAATCAATGAAATACCTGCAACTTTGCTTCCTTTGTTTGAGCATGAGCATTGAAGATTTCTATTATAATACCGACACGATCCAGAACCGGTTTCTCCCAAGCACACTTTTTGATAATTGAAAGAATACAAAAAACTAATCAAGATCTCTACTAAATACAGGTGTCATCCATAATCCCTGTGAAAACAAAAGGAATTGCCTTGGTTATATATCTTACCTCAAGATTCCGTTGTTGAACACCAGAAAGAATTGTGTTCACAAAAACTGCATCTAATTTATCCTGTAACCGATGAATGATAGAAAAGTTTAGTGCATCATCACACAAGAAAGAATAGACATCTAACTTAGCAATTGATAACTTCTGATGTCATATATGTTCCTAATGTCAATGTCCTCAACCCAATTCGTTTATTTTTTTCTACAAAAAAGTTCGCATATCAACATAGAAAATAAGACATCATCTCTTTATACCATTGTAAGGGATGTGTTCCCAGAAGGTTTTTGTGGACAAGGCAGTTCATCACTCGTTAGGTACTTCCTATAAAAGCTCAGAATGATGATAGTATATCTTGGCATGATGTTTATGAAAAAAGTTGACCAAAACTTTAGAACAAATGGAGATCATAATTTATCATTTTTATTTTTTAATTCCGATGAATCTCAATTGTACGACATACAAAGACAAGCTATGATTAAAAGGAGAGTGTAAGCTGAGAGGCTAATTTATATGAATATTCTTGCACCGTAGTCTACACAGTGAGTGCTTTTTCATGACCTTCCACGAAATGGTAGATTTATGAGAGAATTTTTCTGCCTAACGGATTAATTTATATACTCAATACAATTCAACTCTGAAAAGATAAGGAAACATGTCAAACATGTCAAGATCAACTTTTGATCGCAGATAGTGGTCGGATCATCCCTTCAGTTTCTCTTATGTTGGGGAACATTGTTTCAAGAATTTTCAATGCATTTTGGTTCATATGCATTGAACATAGATTTAAACAAGAAAAAAGAACACAAATGCATGATTAAAAATCTACATCAGCGACAAACGTGACGCCACCACATTACTAGCCAAAAATCGGGAATTTATTAAATAATATATTTAGAGTAGTGGGGCAAGCAACATAACAGAAAAATATAAACACTATACGCCAAATGCTTACCTTTGATTCAGAACCCTTAATATGGGCTTTCACAGTTTCGACAGTTCCTGGTCCAAAATATCTGTCTGCCACAACAACAATACATAATTAATCAGATCATAATCTGGACAGAGTTGCATTTTCCTAAACTAGATGGCAAGTAATGGAAAAAAAATCATTTCAAATCATTATTGTCAACCATTTAGTATAAAGCTTTGGAAACAGTTGACATCTGTGAAGTTGCATACAAAATATTTCTAAGCAAGCTCCTGGACAACGTCCTTATGCAGAAACCATCAGGATAGCCTGTATGCTCTGATAAAAACCAACAAATGTTTCTATCAATTGGTCCCCTGATTTCTAGTCTTTCTCGTCGTTTTCCTTTCCTCCTCTGAGGAATTTTCATAGACCATCATGGCCTCCATCATTATGTAATGAGTGACCTTCATTATTTTAACATCGCATTACCCATGCTCCCTAACCTACGCAACATGAATGTCCCTGAAAGACTATGAGATTCAATGATGAAGGAGTAACAAGTAACTGACTTCCAGAAAAGACCCTCCCCGCCACATTCACAGGCCACGGAAATCGGAAAAAATAGATCATCAGGTCCACATAGACTCTAGGAACGCAAGATCAGGATTCTACTCGCTGGTATAAATGCAGCGTTAAATCCAGGAGCTAAGTGCCTAAACCCCACTAGCCACCAGTTCCCATTCACGAGCTAATAATCGCAGCCAAGAAATAATTCGCAAGGAATTCGCAAAGTCGAAGAATGAAGAAGAAGGAAAAGAATAATGGAAGACGGGTTTTGCACCTGCATGAGCTCTCAAATGCCGAGCCAAAGGGTTTTGGACGACGATGTGTGGTAGCACCTCCTTGTCCCCGAACTCCTCCGCATATAACCCATCCCTCTGCTCTTCTAGAGAGTTGGCCAGGTTGAGAGCTTCCGAGAGCTTCGACCGGAGCATGGCGTCGGGCCGAAGCCGCGGCTGAACCACGAACAGCCTCGGCGGACTGTCCGGATCCCTGTTGCTGACCAGGAACAGATCATCGCCGTGGTCCTCATCGCTTTTCTTCCTTCGGCTGGAGGAGAAGCGGCAACAGGGAACCGAGAACTGGGGAGAAGGCTCGACAGTATTCCCCCAGATTGTGCGAGAAAGGAACTCCAAAGATCCCACAGAAGCTGTTCCAGGGGAAGTAATCGAGCGTTGCGACTGAGGGAGCGACCTAAGAGAACAATGAAGCCGGGAGATGCTCCTGAACATCGCAGGGAATCCCTGTTCCTTCCTCCTCCCTGGTGCCTCTGCTCTCTGCTGCTCCCCAAACAGTCTCCACACCCCAGCGGGGGGGGGGGGGGGGGGGGGGAAGAAGAAGGATATCCGTTATAAGTACCAAAAAAAATCCCATCAAAATATCCTCTATGGAATGCTCTCCTATCGGACGGCAGATCTTCTCCCACGTAGAGCACAGCCTGACCTGGATTCCTACCGGGCCGGGATCGGGGCCGTTTTCTCCTTAACCGCTAGCCCGACCCGTTGACAGCCCAACTTATTACTTACATAAGAAACATCAATACACAACGATGTCAGATAAATAATTTCGTGGGGAATTATTTTTAATAAAAATAAATACGGGGGGTTTCTCATTGGCAGGACCGTACCGGGCCGGGCCCGAGAGAAAAGCCCAGAATGATGAATAACTTAGATAACTATCTGTTATTTATTTATTCATATGTCATTTCCGGACAAATTAAATGAATAATTACTTACTAGATATTAGTGGTTAATGACATAATTAACGAAAACGGGGGAAGAGAGACCCTCCCCCCTCGCCCGAGTCAGCCGAGTCGGCGTTTCAGAAAAGAAATTTCACAGAGAAAAATAGAAAAAAGAAAAATCTTCAACCTTTCTTCCTTTCTTCGCCGGTTGATGCGTCGAGGGGCGATTCCAGGAGGAAGGAGAGAGGGAGGGAGAGAGAGAGAGAGAGAGAGATTGGTAGCCTGGAAGTGACGAGGAGTTTTGGGGGGTGGGGAAGGACAGAACGAGGACGGATTGGTGTGGGTGATTGCGTGTCGGTGGGAGGGTAGACGGAGGAGAAACATGATCTTGTCGTTCTGCTGCGGTAGCCGGAGCCGGTGTGGGGAGGTCGTGTAGTTCGATCGGAGAAGATGCCCGCTGGTGATCAGAAAGGGCACGGAGGCGACGATGGCGGACGTCGGGCCGGCGCCGGCGGGAACCCATGGCAGGCGAAGGAGAGGGAAGACGGGCCCAAGGCGTGGGCCATCCTTCTCTTCGCCTTGATTGGCGCCACCGCCACAACTTACGCTGTACTCCTCTCTCTCTCTCTCTCGCTGTGTGCGTATGTTTGTTGTGTGCTTTCCTGTTGAATTTAGAGCATCGGGAACAGAAGCATGCTGGGAACTGTCTGGCTCCTCAAGTCGCCTTTTGATTATACCCGACTGGTAATCATTTCCGTCACTGCAATTGCCGGGGTATTGTAGGCACCATTATTAGAGCTATGGATCTTATTTACGTTGACTTTGAGAAAAATCCAATCAGACAAGTTTGGGTGAAATGCTCATTCCAGCCTTCTCTGATCTTCCGAAATGAAGGGAGAGAATTGCTCAATCAAGCATCAGAGATACCACTGTTTGCCTTTCTGCTCTTTTTTTGGTCTCGTAAATGTAAAGCATAGACCCTTAAGATTAAGTATAATTTTATGTTCCACTCCCTATGGACAGTTACCCTAATTCTGTCTGGTCAAAGCTGCTGTGCGATCTGTCTATCTGTTAATGGAGACTTATTATCTCATTGGGTGTTTTGCCAGGTCGGTCAGATGCGTAGGACTGTTGACTTCTTTTGGTCTCAGGTGCCCACAGTTGATAAACACTCCCCCTCCTCTCCAATTATGGTAAATTTGTGTTGCGTCAACTGAATTGTGTAAATGTGTAATGCCCATGTCGCATTTGCATCAAAAGATGAAGTCACAACCATTTTCGTCATGGAAGAACACGACTGGCTCTGGTCATGGAAGCTTTAGAGAGGAAGCCTGGAAGAGATACAACCGTCGGCTGCAGGAGGAGTACGAGGAAGAAATGGAGAGAGTGGTGAGCCCTTTTTATATTCTAATTTACATATTTTCCATCTTTTGCCTGAGAAAAGGATACTAATCCACGTGAATCGCATCATTTGGAGGGTTGAACTTTCCATTGACATTCTCTGTTGTGCCATTGTGTTCATTCCACTCAGTAGCATGTTGTGCTATCATGCGACAGGTTACGATATTTAGAATAATGTTGTGCCTAAAAAGATTGGGTGTGAATCACTGTGGCCTTGTGCTTTGGATGATAGCTCAAAGCGATCCATGCCATGTTAAGAGGTTGGTTCACTTTTCTTCCTACTTGTTGATGTTAGAAAACTAAGTTTAAAAATCTATCCTTTATGGACTCAAAAATCTTCAACTCTACCCTTGGTTGTGTTCATGGTTAATTGAAGCAATGCTCCATTAGATCTCATAAAAGATGAATTCGTCATCAAGATTTCGCTCCAGTGATATGTGTGCATTCATCTTCGGGGTATTAGTGACCCTCGTGGACCATTTCCCCTCCTCTACTTTGGTCAACTTTCGCACACTTGACCCTGCCAGGAATTATTTGATATTTTCTGTATCTGCTGTTTCCTATGATATTTTCCCTTTCTTGAGATCATGAAGCTTCTTAGGGATCTCTATCTGCATTCCAGCAATGATGGCATCGTCCTTTTGAATGTTATTGCCCCTCTCTCGGTTCGTATTTGATCATATTTTTCATTGATTATTCGCAACGGCACGCATGGATCTCCAAAATGATTGCTTTTTAAAATTTTTCATGTTTCATTTATCTTTTCATGCAATCTAATCAGATAATTTCTTGTATTTGCGCTTGTTAACTTCTCGTTGCACAGGAGAGAATAAGGCGGATGCAAAGCGTGTTCAATAGGGAGAGGAATAAGTATAAAAGAGGCTATGAGAGTTGGAGGGAGAATGATGCAAATGGCTATCATCAGCATTTCCAACGGGAAGACTGGTACTGGAAGACGGATTCATCTTACAGGGATCAAAGAGATCAAAGAGCAAAAACCAAAGCTCATCCCAGTTACAGCGGCAATCAAACTCTGTCTCATCACTATTCAGTCCTGGGTCTTGACAGGTATCAATGGATGTGATATAATGTGATGGTAGTTTTTTATTTAGTTTGGTGCCTCCCCCTCAACATGGACATCAATTAAATAACTCGATACCTAAGGGCAGTGTCTCTCTCTTCTTCTTCTTCTTCTCCTTCTTCATCTTCTCTGTTCTTCGGAAGCCAACACAGCTACAATTGCATGCAGAAAGGAGGTTGGTGCAACTTAGCCCTTAAGGAGACTTGAAATCCCTGTAATCAGATAATTTAACCCTGAGAAGTAATGGGGTTCTTGTTATTTTTTATAAAATAAAAAATTCCTTCTTAATCAGGAACTGTTGTAACTAGATTGGAGTTTTCTGAATGGCAACAAAAATTTTGATCTTCTGATCTTCACCTCCCGTACACTGCATCCTTGTAGTTATCAAGATGAACTAATCGATGATCGTTCAGTGTGAGTGGTTGTGCAAAAGGGCTGATTTTCTTTTCTTTGTAAACAAGGAAAAAGATGCACAGTGAATCTGATAAACGGTAAAAATGGAAATGCTGAAAGTGGCCTCATGTTTTTGAGCTGCCTCGAAAACTTTATCTTCCGTTACTACCTGCTATGTATTTTTCTCATGCCAATTGAATCTTAACAAAAGTTGTCCCCTGACCGAATTGAACAAAAATCTAAGCTGTCGATGAACATGATTCACTAGTAATGAGATGACTTATCCTCTGACTCATTCCTGAAATCGAGTTGAGGATTTTTTTCTTTATAGTATTTTTTTTATTGATTTCAACGGTTCATTTATTTTTTTCATCCATAATATCTTGAATACCCTGCACATTGGTGGTGTTAATTGAGAATTTTTTTTATTCACGTTACTAGAACAAGGACCCCATCATGAACTTTGTACGCATCCACTTTGGTGGTCGCAAGTCTGCCTCCTGTAAAAAAAAAGGATTTTAAATGGGTGAACCCCCTTTATTTTGGAAATTGTGATGCTGTGGCTGCAAGATACAACTATGAGCAACAAATATAATAAGGTTTTCAATAATTCGGTGTGCTTTATTTTTTATCCAATTCTGATGGGTCAGTGATCTCATTTGCTCTTATTTTCTTTCTTTTAGGTCAAGATCAACACCCTACACCGATGCAGAAATCAAGGTACCACCCACTGTGCATCTTTTTCCTGTACAAGTCATGAATTTCATTCACATCATCAAACTGGAATTAGCTTATGAGCTCTTAGCCCTTTGAGACCCTCTCCTAAGAAAACTAGGAATTCTCGGTACATATGCTGCCGGGTGGGATTTTGGGGGGTGGGATAAATGGGGAGAACGTTCAACCTTCCTGTTATAATTTGAATTAGTTTCCAAAACGGATGTGGGTTAGAGTGAGAATTAGAAGTAGTTGAGTTCAACTGAGTAGGTACATTCACAGTCTCCATCTCCCAAGCAGTAGTCTATACGTTCATGATGGTATTTACATGAAGGTTTCTTCATGTATTGCTGCGCATCTGATGGTTAATGGAAAGGTTTCTTGCTTGTAGACTGCTTTCAGAGCGAAGGCAATGGAGTATCACCCTGATCAAAACCAGAACAACAAAGGTCTGCCCTCTGATCCAACCTTGAACTCCCTGCACTCAAACAATTTCTGTTTCTATCTCTCTGTGTTTCTTGACGGATCAGCACTCAAAACTTATCGCAGAGGCTGCAGAGGCCAAGTTTAAGCAGGTGCTGACATCATACGAGGCGATCAAATTGGAGAGGAAGAACGAGAGGCTTTGAGTGCCCAAGATTCGTGGAGAGCCAAGGGATGCTGGGTGGGGCTCTTCTTGACCCCTCAGATTTAGAAGAGATGCAATCTGGGTCCGTCAATGGCCCGAGCAAGCCCACCAATTAATCCCGATTGCGAGAGGGAATATCCAGCATTCTGTTTGAGCCATTCGTGGTGAATTTGGCTCAGCATATCACGTCCAGTCGAGGACTTTGCCTAAGAGATTTGAGAGGTATTTCACAGCCAGTTATTGCTCTTCTTCTCCTCCTTGCTGGCTTCTTCTCCTTCTCCTTCTTGCTGGGTTCTTCTCCTTCTTCTTCTTGATGGGTTCTTCTCCTCCTCCTCCTTCTTGCTGGGTTCTTCTCCTTCTTCGCCATCCTCTTCCTGGTTCTTCTCCTCCTCCTCCCTGGTTCTTCTCGTTCTCGTTCTCCTTCTTCTGCTCCTCCTCCTTCGTGGTTCTTCTCCTTCTTGACCGGGAATATCAACTATTGTGCCTAATAGTTTTCGTTATTATTCATTTTTCTCCGAAAACCAAAGTTCACGTGATGTGTTATATATATATATATATATATATATCCAAGAGGGCACACCTCGGATTCCTGCTCGAACGACCTGACAGCATTCTGTTTGGTCCATTCTAGGGAAAATAAAGTCCAAAGAACAGCCAGAAACGACCTTACTTCCTGACAGGAATGCGTCAAAAAAAAAAAAAAAAAAAAAAAAACAAGCAGTTCTTATCCACAACTTCCCTACCTGACACGGCACTAAATCCACAAAACCCCGCCGAAGAGTGCAAATCGACAATGAGAACAACAACGAAGGACGAATATATCGAGCTGCACCCAAACAAGCTACTTCTCTTGGACAGAATGATGAACTGAACACTTCCACCATTCATAGCAAACATGATCTCAACCCATCTTCACCCCCCCTCCTCCCATCTACTTAGACCCCGAAAGCTCAGCAGCATCAGTTGGTCGGGGGAGCTCTGTAATACGCAGGAACTGTCGCAGGGAAGAACATCTGCCTGACTCCTTCGGCCTTGATGATGGGAAGTATGATATTTGCAGCTCCCTGCTGTGGCAAAAGAACGGCAGTAATCACACAAGTGGCGGCAGAAGATCTTCCCCCAGGTGGGGGAAATCAGAAAGCATGATAGTAATAGCATGCATAAGAATGATGTATGAGTACAGTGCAAGCCATCAATCTTTGCTACAGCCATTGTCTTGATATTTTCATGAAATTTTGAGCATTTCTTCACATTACCCAAAAGAAAAGAAACGGGTTTGGGACTCACCGATATCAATCTTGCCCCAATCCACATTCGTTTGGGTGAAGGATATGGGATTATAAGGCGCCCAACTCCATATATTGCGACGGCAAAGAAATGAACAACCAGGCTCAGAGGGCGAGGATTAAGACCAGACAGCAAGGATATGGGGCCGGCCGAAAATGATCCTCCAAGGCTTAGATAATCGAAACAAGCCTGACGCATTTCGTTCATCGCCCGATCGGAGGAGGCGCTGAAGACCTTGTACAATGCACCCGCCAAGGTATTTATCGTAGAGGCCACCGGCTGTTGAGGAGAAAAAAAAAAAAACAAATTATACATACATATATATAAAACCAAGATTTATCAGCATTATAAAAACCAATTACATCAAAGAAGAACTATGGAATCAGTCAATGACAGAAAATTGCATTTCCCCCTGCCGCCACCTTGATGGGCAGGATTAACAGCACCATCCCACCTCACCTTTCTCAATGTGTAAAAAGACTCCAGGTACTTGCACAGAGCCGGGACATCGTGGAGATTACGCAGGGGCTTGAGAAGATTACGCAGAACGACAATATCAGACAATGCCACAGTCATTCCTCCACCAGTCAAGGGATGGCGCATGTTGAAAGCATCCCCCATTAATAAGGCTCCAGGAGTAGGATGGGGAGCAGCTGGCATACTCTTGTTAGGCATTGTTCTTATGGTTCCTAGGTCAATAGCAGATATGAAGGGCTCACGGAGTTCTTGAGGGAGCTGAAATAGAAAACAATATCGCACAGAGTAAGATTCTAAGTATAGGACGAGCACAGCAAACAAAATGGACAGTCCTGATTTATGTTCAATTATTGTATATCTGAAAACTCATGTACCTGGGGTGCCACTGAAGTTTTCAGATAGATCTCCATTTCGCCATTCGCTACGGAAGGGACCTTCTGCCCGGGAACGTCAACCAAGCAACGGACTTCAGTGCTGCTGATTGGATAAAATAGAATAGGCGAAGGATCAGCAAGGATGACGTGCCCATGGTTTGGATATGGCAGTTGGCAGTTCTCCAGGACCAAGCCCACAAAAAAGGAGGGCACGTCTACCTGCGGAGTAGAGATGTTTTTAGATCACAATCCGCAGCAGTAATAATAAGCAAAGGCTTATACACTCGGGAATTATAATTGCACCAGTGAGACTGAATTTCACCTTTGGGGAGCAAAGAGAGCGTCGCAGATTTGAGAAGCAACCATCACATACGATCGTAAGAGGCGCATATGCTTTTAGCTCTTCTCCATTCTTAGTCTTGTATGATATTCCCCTCACAGCTCCATTTTCTTCGATCAATGACGTTACAGTCCCTTGCTCCAAACTAACACTGGAAGAAACGAATTTCAAGTTAAAGGGATGAATGAACAGGAAGGTTGACACAGGAAAGACAATCCTTATTATGATTGCAGATAAAAACTATTCTCGTTTAAGAAACTAATATCACACCAGAACAAGATAAGCACTATTCATAAACGAAATATTCCAACTGTTCCTGGGAATTATTGTCCCCATCTAACCATGTCCATCTGTAGGCATCAGAGGAAACCTCTGATGCTTGGTTACTTACGAAACCAACCACAAACTATGCATGAAACTGAATGGTGAGAAAGAGATGAACTAGCCGGATGACAGGCCGAATAAGTTAAATAGAATTGATGATATTATGCAACCAGATCACGTGGCAGAGAGGAGGGGAGAGGGCATTTCTCTAGATTCCTCCATGCGTGCATGCATGCATGCAGACACACATTAACGAGGAGTAGTTCTTGTTCTTTGAACTATTAGAGTAATAATGGGCTGCTGCTCCACATGGTGTTGTCCACTCGAGAAAAAAGTGTGCCCGAACTATGCACACGCATATGTTCCCCCAAGTGTGAGCATGTTATGATTCGTCTTTCATGGCTTGGAGGACAATTTTCCACTCCAGAAACTTGCACCATGAGAACAATCGTAGGTCTTGGGATGTTAAAGATACCAAACAACTTCAATTTGCACTGAATTTCTTCGTAGATTAAATACTTAATAGTGTCAGAGTAACGTACTGTAGCGCGAAATATTAATTAAGAGGAGTTAGAATGATGAAACACAATATCCTGAGTCAGAAAAAGAGATATATACTTGGGGATAGAGGCAGCTTTCCCTCGCATCCTCTGTATGAAGCGCCCATTATGAAAGCTCCTCCCAGCAACATCACTGTGAAAGTTTTCCAAGGGATATGAAAGTTTCGTGTTCTTTCCATCTTTGAAAAGTGCATAGCCAAATACCCGCTGGGCGTCAATCTCTTCAACACAGTCTGCACAGAACAAAACAGTTGGATGGTAGAAAGCTTACGTGAAACACAAAAATATGAAACGATGACAACACCCTTTTCTAACCCATGATGAGTTCGAATGAACCCCATTCCCATGCCCCTGAGGAGATGTTCGACCTTCTATGTGATTATTGACCCCAAGAGAGAGAGAGAGAGAGAGGAGGGGGGGAGGTATCTACAGCACATTCTAGATTAATGAAAAGATGTTCTTCACTATCCAACCGAGACTCCTATCCAGTTATATATTTCGTACTAATGTTAATAGACAGACGAATTGGCGGCCAGAAAAAAATTCAAATATTTTTAGGTTAAACTTCACATGATAGAAAAATAATTTGCAAACTTACCTTCGAGACCCAATTCAACTAGTTTCAAGTACCCTCCGGGTTGTAACAGCTCCCCAACAATCCTGTCCGGCTCACTCAGATCCCTCTCGATAACACGAACTCGACGTCCATCCTGCAGGCGACAAAAAGAGCCAGATTAAGTCCGAACTTTCACAGATCCTCTGTCCATTTCCCGTGGTCCACGTGAAGGAAATGGTGAGCCATTGAAATGGTGAGCCATTAGGCACAAGCAAAAGACAAACAGCTTGTATACTTCGACGGACCGAAATGTACAACAGAGAAGTCGACAACCACACCGACGTCACGGAGCTTTCAAGGCTCGAAAGATACCGGGAAACCTTCCGCATATTACAAGGAAAACCAGCGAGCCGACCAATCCGCAGTGCACTATCAGTCCATAGTGGTGAACAAGGAAGAGAAAAAGTCCAGGACGCCATCGACCATGAAAAGTTGTTCTTCCGAAGAAAAAAACTCTCTCCAGAGACTCCGAGCGCATATTCTAGACCCCCATTTCTTTGAAACACATTTAAAAAACACAAAGAAATGACCATCCGTTCTCTGAGAGGAAAAAACGATGGACAACCCCATCACGAGCATCAAACGGAGACTTGTGATCTCACCTTTCCAAGAGCGCATGCAAGCGCGGAGCCGGCAACTCCGGCTCCGACAACGATAACATCCGACGAGCCCTCACAGGCCGCTTCTGATCCGCACTCAGCGACCTTCGACAACCTCCCCTGGATCTCGGCATTCCGTTTCATCCCTCCCTCCCTACTCTTCCCCTGAAACGGGAACATCAGCAGAAAACCGAGAAGAGAGGCCACCACCACCCCGAACACGTACTCCATCAGCATCCTTCCAGGCACAATCTCCCTCGAGCACTCTTCTTCTCCCCTCCGCCCCCTCTCCCCCCTCCCTCCCCTCCCCTTCGCCCTCCGAGATCGTTCAAGCTGTTGCTGCGTTCTCTCTCTCTCTCTCTCCTCTCCTCTCCTCTCCGGCCACCACTTCAGGTGTTATTAAAAGACTACAGACTCTGCGGTAACCTATGCCGCCTAGCGTTATGATCCGTTAATTTTGCCAGCGCATTCCGAATTTTTCGGATATTTAATTTTTGACATTTACTAATTAAATATTCCCGTTGGGCATTTACGCATTTATCAAATATATTTTGTCTTAATAAATAAATGATTTTCACGCTCTATTTGATCATCTTCTCTCGCTGTATCTCGTATGTACGGCGCGAAATGTACTATCCCGGCTCTCCGACCCCCCTGCATTTCATCTTTTAATATAAAGAATATATAATTTACTGTGATTTTATATGCTATTTTATGGGAAGATGATGACTACGTAAATTTATTTTTAAATGTTTTTTGGAAAATCGAGCATACGTCAACACCGACTTGGTCTGCCATGGTTCGCGGTCGCTGCAACCGATTCGGTCGCGACACTCCGGTCAACAGAGGAGACGTTCGGACAACCGTCCCGCTAACCGCCATGCCAGAGCGGGCGGTGCTTAAGCAGTTCCGCCGGTATAACTTTGTGGCGCCTCTCTGTCCTTCTTGTCGCTAGCCCTCCCGTGAGAGTTTAAGACAAGACAAAGCCGTCGATGATGTGGGGCCATCTGATGGACGCCTGAGATTGCGTTCAAAAACGACGCGCGTCATTTTCAGATCTGCTGTCGACACGCGTGGCCCGGGGCAGTATGAGGTACATTGCGTACGTTTCGATGCGCAGATGAAGTTGCGTCTGCAAGAAAGAGAGAGATAGGGCTCCCCGCTAAGCAAGCTCATAGGTGGGGCCCATGTATGTAGCGTCACGCATTCAAACTGCGGCGCCAGCTGGGCCGTGGTTCTAAGGCTAATATGTCGATGACGTGGCCAACTCGAGTAGGAGCCGAAATATCCTCTCGGATACGGTTACGGTTCGGATCCTATTATTTTCATGGGGGGCCTTTCGCATTAACGCTCTAGAAGACGGGGATGTGCAGGTTTGCAATTAGAGCACGTTGTAAAATAATTTTTGTACTATACCGGGCACGTCTACGTATCAGAAAACAGCTGTAGAGAGAGCTTGACCTTGCCACGTAGAGCGGCGGCGTCCATATAAAGCTGCTGCTCCGGCACAGCCGCTGCCGCACGCGGCTTTGGCCTCTCAATGCTGCAACACGTGGGACGGTGCATACCAGCCCCACCGCTGCCGCCATCACCTTCGTCTTCACTCCGCCGCGGGGGCCCCCGGCGAGGCCGATTGATAAGAACCGTACGATAAATCAACTACGTGGAATCATGTGGAGAAAGTTGAAGAGATGATCTCGGCAGCCGTGATTCCTCGGAGCATTTTTAGTTTGTGAAAATGCCCGTCTTCCTATTAATAGATAATTTATTTCGGGGAAAAATAAATAAATTAATTAAACGGTCTGATTGTCATTTTTCCCTTTTCAGTTTTTTTCGTAGGCATATAAAAAAAAACTAAATAGTTAACATTTATTAATTTTCCGGATTATTATAAATTATATCTCCAGTAAAAAAAACTGAGATTTTTATGTAGAAGGTGACAGGTGAGGAGGCCGCCTATTGTTGTCTTTTACAAATTCATGAATATATTAATATTTCCACGTATATATATATTATATGTTCAAATAATTGTAGCACATAACGATGGAAAAATTAGGGCCCAAGACGGGTCAGGTCACTAAAAGCCCTACCTACCGTCTGTGATGGGCTAGGGACTTGCCGCCGGTTCGAATTGTCGCTTTTCCCTGTTATCGAGGGGTCATCTGCCAATTTTCTGAAAATAAAACGGGTAATATTTAAAATGCTCCCTTTTCTTTCTGTACGCCACGGCCCAGTTATCGTTGATCGTTGCAACCCGTCAGAGTTTTCGGCCACCTTGCCAACCTTCCAAACGGCTATATCGTTTGAATTCCAACGGCCCATTTTCTGGCCTCTCTTCCTCCGCCCCCAGCCCCTTTCCTCCGCCGCCCAATCCTCCTCCTCTTCCTCCTCCTCCTCCATCTGCGCCGGTTCCACCGGAGATCGGAGAGAAAAATGGAGGCTCTGTGGAAATCCCTGAGGAAGGGATCGTCGACTGCGTGGACTGGGGAGGACCACGTCTACGAGAACATCGAAGCCCCCAAGTTCGTCGACTTCAGCGCCCCCGATCGTTCCCGCCCCGACGACCGTTCTTGGTTCTGCACCCGCATCGGTCAGCTGTGGATATCTCCCCCTCTCACCACCTCATCGGCCTGATCTCTAGCTGCATTTTGTTTCCTCTTCGTTCCTTCCTTTTCCACTGTTTTTTCTCCGATCCACGAGTTGCAATCGTCCCCAGATCTGCATCTGATCAAGATTATTCGCGTTCTATCCCCGGATAGTTGTGAACCGTGTGGCTTCTCTTGATCAGGTTGCGACCAGAACCACGACGAAGTAGATCCGGATGTCCTCCACAAGAATTTCGTGCTCCGAGTAAGTAGTAGCTCGTTCCTCCTCCTCTCCTCGATTCCTCCTCGGGCGGATTCTTAGGGTGAGTTTCCAACGATTCCTCCAGGTCATGGCGGCACGAAGCCCTAACGTGCGATTACAGAAGGCTCTGAGTCGCCATGATGCCCCAAGGTACGTCAACCAGGAAGAGTATGTAATCTGTTCTCACGGAAAAATTCGATTAGAACTGCAACAGATCTATCTAATCGGGAGAAACATTCATCCAGCGCCAAATGTCCTCGATCTGCGCCTGCAAAGTCTGCGAAGAGTAGAATAGGCATGTTGGCGGAGAAGGCTGGGAGCTCGGCCAGGCTGAAGAACTATCCCGTCGCTTGCCTGAGCTCCTCCACTCCGAAACCACCAGCAAAGCGGCCTCCGGCGGCGGCGAAGGCGTTGTCTACTCCCAGGAACAGAGCACGGCCAACCGGCGAAGAAGCATTCCGGAGTGTGAAGATCTCCAAGCCCCCAGAACCTTTGCTGAAGAACAGGGCGGCGGTGAAGGTTCTGAGCTTCCACACACCGAAGAAATCCGAGAAGGGGACTTGTGCTGGCAAGGCACCGATACCAGAAATATCTGCCGGCATGAAGAAGCTCAACATGGGGACGCTGAGATCTGATAATGCCATAGATCGAGATGCCTGTAGGCTTCTCGAAGCGGAAGAATGCCCCGAGAGAGCCCTCCCGTCGTCGATGACGCCGTCGGAAGATCGCACAGGAGTGAAGTCTTCACCCAAGGCCGAAGCGGAAGAGCCTGATGTTTTCGAGGACGAGCCAATGGAGGGTTCTTCCGAATTCGATGAGAACAAGGAGAACGCCTCAGTGATCCACGCCGCCGCCGACAGGTTGGATTCTTCAGCCACGCCATATCCTAGCACTCTGATTCCCTTACAGAGTCGTCACTATTTCTCGATTCCCTTACACTCTGATTTCTTGTGGGATCTGATCTCAGAGACGAGAATCGTAGCACCTTCACAAGTGGGATGGAGAATCGCCAGAAGAACAGCTGCGACGGCCCTCGGAAGGTGCTCTTCTCCCCGAGCTCAGTTCTCCTCCTGCACGATACATTCGTGCCTGTGGTAATCCTTTTTCCATCTATGTCGGCAGGCAACGGCGGCCTCCGGCAATAACCACCATAAATCTGCCCAAGGAGCTAAATACCGGGCGCTGAAACCCACAAATCCGAAGCCTTTTAGGCTAAGAACCGATGTGAGTTCTTCATCTCACCACTCTAATGAATCCATGCGAGGAGATAGAGAGCTCGAGCTCGGACTGAAGGCACTGTAATGGCTATCTTTCTTCTCTATCAACAGGAGAGAGGAATTCTGAGGGAGAAAAACCTTGAGAGAGGGAAACCTGAGAAAGAGGTCTGCATCATCAAGCCCGGGGGGAAGCCAGAGCAGAAGAGCTCCTCCCTCCATGCTCAGAGATTGCCAGCCTTGGACCTACAGCGGCTCCTCAAGCCCCTAAGGTAAAGACGGTAGTGGCATTTCTCTCCCTACACTGTCAGTAATCATCTGTTCGTCGCCATGAGACATATGGTGCGTGCAGGGGAGGCAGCAAGGGGACGGCGCCGGAGGAGGAGGGGGAGGAGGAGAAGAAGAAGAAGAAGAAGAAGAAGAAGAGCACGGCTTCTCTGCTCGGAGGAGCCGAGGAGGGAATCCGCCGGGCGCCCCCGTCGGTGTTAAGACCCAGAGAAGAGACCGCCATATCCATGGCTTCAACCGCTTCTGCGAAGAAGGCCCTGACGGTCCCCAAGGCGCCAAAATTCAACAAAGTCAACGTCCCCAAGGGCTGCATCAGGAGATTCGATCTGGCGAATTGACGGTATGTGGGCTTGCTCCTTCGTCTTCCTCATTATAAAAGCCCGGGAAATTCCGACATCTCTAGATTTTGTTGACTTTCCGAGAAAGGGATCGTTAAGTTTCGCGTACGTGGGTCGACTTTAGCTGTATGTCAAATGTGTTTGTCTCTCTCACGCTGATTTGTGTGCATTAACCCCGATCTGGGGCAAGTCAATTGGGTCGATCCCAAAATGTGTATTTTTAAATTTTTTCTGCGGATTTGTAAGTGCGCATTTGATAGCAGAAATTATTATTTTGGGTATTTATGGCATAAAATATTATCTATTTCTTATGGACTCCATAATGACTGGTTGTGGGCCATTTCTCACTGGGCCATTTACCTCGAGCCCCATCCCATAAATCTCCGATTCCTCTTTCCAGCACCATGTCCTCCCCCCCAGAGCTTTCCTGTAGCCGACGAGGCCACTTCCCACCCCAGCGGCGCCGCTTCCTCGCCGCTGTCCTTCGGAGACAAAAAGATTCGGAGAGAGAGAGGTAGGCTACAACGATCTCCTCGCGTCATTTTCTCTTCCCATCCGTCCATGGAGACCGCTCAGAGGAGAGAGATAGGCCGCCACGCGAACCCTAATCTCTGAATCTCCTGGAATCCCGTGGATCTCAGAGATAGAAGAAGGGGAGAAAATTCATCATCGGATGGAATTGGGGGAGGGCGGGAAGCCATGGACGGGGCTCTGCACGGTGGTGGCGGTGGATTCGAGCTCCACGAGTTACAGGGCCTGCGGCGTCTGCGAGCGGACCCTCTCCGACGGCGCCTGCCATTACTGCAGCCGCAATGGCTTCAACCCCGGTTCTTGCGCCGACAGGCGCTTCTTTCGTCTCCTCGTGAGTATCCCCTCCCTCTCCCGAATTTGAGGAGCCATCGATCCTTTAACACGAGATGGGAGCGTTTGAGTGATCCCTCTCATTCTCTGCTCTTTCTGGTCAGATCTTCATCGGCCCAGGGGAGGTTCATTGAACCGAGGAATTCATAATCTTCTGATCTCTGTGGGTATTATGCTTGCAGATCTCTGTGGCTACACCCGACAGGGTCGTGGCGGTGATGTGCTTCGACAGGGTGGCGCAGGGTCTCTTCGGCTGCCCTGCTGACGAGTTCTTTGACTTCTGCAGAGTCAACCCAGATGCGGGTAGCGATGCAATCCATCCCGCCGTCCCTCTTCTCTGTCAGCTTGTAAGATCTTCGAATGAGGCCGTTGACCGAGAGATCCTCTTTTCCTCTCTCTCCTTCAGCGGAGACCGCCTGCAGGATGCTGGAGGGCGAGCCGTTCAAGATGGCGTTGACCAGACCAAGGAGCGGGAGCGCCCAACACCTCAGGGTCAGCTCCATGGTCCCTCTGTCCTCCGAATTCCGGCCTCTGATGGAGCTCCTCAAAGCCGGGAGGTCCACGCCGAGCAGGATGATGAGAACCATGTGATCCGCCTGGTTCTTTGCTCTAAGCATAATTAATGACTGGTTTATATAGAAAATCGTGATCTTACCATTTTTGGGCATTTCGACTTATAATTATTTATCGTAATCATCAAGTCGGAGAGGCCCATCTACGTCACCCGTCCGAACCCCGCCGATATCGTATCCGACGTGGCGTATTCCTATCGGTCAAAGACGTGACCCGATGGACCTCTGTTGGGTCCTCTCTCTCTCTCTCTGCCGTCCCCTCGTTTGTTTGGTATGTGGTGACGTCATCGAAACAGACACGGCTACCTGAGATCCGTGGTTCCCATCTCTGACTGTGGGCCCCACAGCGTGGCCTGACCCCTCCTCATTTCCATCCCCCAGCCACAAAAGTGTTAATTACAAATACGAAATAATTATTACGATATTTGAATTTTAACAGTTCGATTTTTAGAGATAATTAATTAATTAATTAGAAAACGCTGGCGGATGCACAGAGAGTTCAGTAAAATAATAAAATAGTGAGCTGGATCGTTCTGGGGACCGCCTCGAACTCGGCCGATCCCTCGACGCGTGGACGCCTCCCCGCGTCCCTTGGCCCGCCTCGCGTGTTACCGTGGTGCGCCTCGGCGGCAACTCGGCGCTGACTCACCGACAACCTGTCTTCAGGCCGGCGGCGGCGGGCGACCCAACACGCGGTGTCGGCCAACCGCCTGGCCTCCTTGGATCGGACGGCGAGCGCAGGCCGAGTCCACCCGTGCAGGGTCCCGTGGCAGTGGATAAGGCCAATGTGGTCCGGCGCTATTCCCGAGAGTCAGAAGAACCCAACAGAATCGGTACTCAACTCGGTATGGACAGCGCGTGATTCCCGGCCGTAACGACTCGCCCGCGCCGACTCGGAGGACCCAGCATGGAGGAATAGCTGGTACAACTAATCTACCTTATAATTATGGCATTTCCTCTGCGGAACGGACGGGGTCGGGGTCTTAGCGGCATGATTATAATATTAATTAATTAATATTAGGGAGGTTGACCTGGTTCAACAAGGAGGAGACTGACGTGGATTGACCCCCCTCCCAGCTGGCCTATTTATTTATTTATTTCCTGTCAAAGAGGACGGAAGCAGGGAGAAGCGGGCAACGAAGGATGGGTGGGCCAAAGTTGTCTCATTTGCGGAGGAACCACGCGTCCGCTGGGGAGCTCGTCTTCTCCATGGACGACGTCTAGGGCTTCATTTCTTTCTTCCTTCCCCTCCATCCGTTTCCCTCTCCTCCCTCCTGCCCCCGCGGCTCTGAAGGAGGGCTTTCGGTTAGCTTACGCCCATGGATTTGCCCGCCCGCCGGCGACTGGAAGGTCTGAAGAATGTGGGGGGTCAGCGCGGGGAAGAGCGCCGCCACTGACCGCCGAAACCGCTGCCGCCGCCGGCCGTCCTTCCTTTCTCCTTCTCCTCATCTCAGTCCCCTGGTAGCGGCATTGGGAGAGGAAGCGGAAGCGGAAGGCCTTCTCTAGTTCAGATTAGATTGAAGCTCCCCATCGTCGTGGATTTTGGATTATTTATTCATCTGTGTTCTGGAGGGGTGGCTACCGGGTTTCTGGAGTCTCACCACCTTGCTCTGGTTCCCTCTGGTTCTTCCCCGTCTCTCCTCCGTCGAGCTCGCTCGAGGAAGGGAGGCGGAGGGAGGAGGAGATAAAAATGGCACCGCCGCTTTTCTGGTGGGGGGAGGAGAAGCCGAGGGTGACGCCGGTGGTGGTGAAGATGTCCAACCCTAACTACTCCCTGGTGGAGCTCTCCTCCCCCGCCGCCGCCGGTCAGAAGGGCTCTCGTGGGAAGAACGCGAAGCAGCTCACCTGGGTCCTCCTCCTGCGGGCCCACCGCGCCGCCGGCTGCCTTACCTCCCTCGCCGCCGCCGCCTCCTCCCTCGCCGCGGCCGTCCGCCGCCGCGTCGCTTCTGGGCAAACCGACGCCGCCGACGAAGAGGAGGAAGACGAAGAGGATGGGGAGGAGGCCGCCGCTGGCGGCGCCGCCGATGAGCTGGTTGGCCGGCGGCGATACGGGGGAAGGTTCTATTCCTGCATATACGGCTTCCTGCTCCTGTCCGTGGCCATGCTGGGGTTCGAGGTGGCGGCCTACTTGCAGGGCTGGCAGCTGGGCGCCGCCGAGCTGCGGCGGCTGCCGCTGCGGGTGAGGGGGGCCTTCGACTGGGTCTATGCGTGGTGGGTGATGGCGAGGGCGGAGTACCTCGCTCCACCATTGCAGCACCTCGCCAACGTCTGCGTGGTGCTCTTCCTCATCCAGAGCGCCGACCGCCTCGTCCTCTGCCTCGGCTGCTTCTGGATCAAGCTGAGGAAGATCAGGCCCGTCGCCGGCGCCGGCGCCGGAGAAGACGACCCGGAGTCCGGCGGGTTGTTTTTCCCCAGGGTTCTGGTGCAGATTCCCATGTGCAACGAGAAGGAGGTCTACCAGCAGTCCATCGCCGCCGTGTGCGGGCTGGACTGGCCGCCGTCGGATCTGCTGATCCAGGTGCTCGACGACTCCGACGAGGAGCCGACGAGGGCGCTGATCCGGGAGGAGGTCGCCAAGTGGCGTTGCTCCGGCGTAAACATCGTGTACCGCCACCGGGAGGTCCGGGAAGGGTACAAGGCTGGCAACCTCAAGTCCGCCATGGCCTGCGACTATGTGCAGGGGTACGAGTTCGTCGCCATCTTCGACGCTGACTTTCAGCCCGCCCCAGACTTCTTGAAGAAGACGGTCCCCCACTTCAAGGTGAGCAGAACCTTCCTCCCATCGCCATGGCCGGCCCTCTGCAAATCGCGGAGGGGGAGCTCTGATTAATGGCCGCTGGTGCAGGGGAAGGAGCGGGTGGGGCTGGTGCAGGCGAGGTGGTCCTTCGTCAACAGGGATGAGAACCTGCTGACCCGCCTGCAGAACGTCAACCTCTGCTTCCACTTCGAGGTGGAGCAGCAGGTCAACAGCGTCTTCCTCGGCTTCTTCGGGTTCAACGGAACGGCGGGGGTGTGGAGGATCAAGGCCTTGGAGGACGCCGGCGGGTGGATGGACAGAACCACCGTCGAGGACATGGACATCGCCGTTCGAGCTCATCTCAAGGGCTGGAAGTTCGTCTTCCTCAACGACGTCGAGGTTGTTGACCTTCTTCCTCCTCCTTCCTCCATTCTCCACCATCGCCACCCTCCTCTGACTCACTCAGTCCCCTTCTTCCTCTTCCCCTCGCTGACAGTGCCAGTGCGAGCTGCCGGAGTCCTACGAAGCTTACCGGAAGCAGCAGCACCGGTGGCACTCCGGGCCCATGCAGCTCTTCCGCCTCTGCTTCGCCGATATCCTCCGATCCGAGGTACGCCCGCCATGGCCATCTTCCTCAACTGATCTGAACTGAACTGAACCGTGAGAGAAATTTGCAGATCGGATTCTGGAAGAAGTCGAACCTGATCCTGCTCTTCTTCCTCCTGCGGAAGCTGATCCTGCCCTTCTACTCCTTCACCCTCTTCTGCATCCTGCTCCCCATGACCATGTTTGTCCCCGAGGCGGAACTCCCGACGTGGGTCGTCTGCTACATCCCAGCCACCATGTCCTTCCTCAACATCCTGCCCTCCCCGAGGTCCTTCCCCTTCATCGTCCCCTACCTCCTGTTCGAGAACACCATGTCCGTGACCAAATTCAACGCCATGATCTCCGGCCTGCTCCGCCTCGGCAGCGCTTACGAGTGGGTGGTCACAAAGAAGTCCGGCCGCTCCTCGGAGGGGGACCTGCTGGCGATGGCGGAGAGAGACCCCCTGAAGCGGCCGCACAAGGAACAGAGGAAGAAGAAGAAGCACAACAGGATCTACCGGAAGGAACTGGCCCTCTCTTTTCTCCTCCTCACCGCCGCCGCCAGGAGCCTCCTGTCGGCGCAGGGCATCCACTTCTACTTCCTGCTCTTCCAGGGGGTCTCCTTCTTGCTGGTGGGTCTCGACTTGATCGGCGAGCAGATAGAATGAGGATGAGGAAGAAGACAACCTCTGAGCCCCCATCGATCGATCTCCTGGTTTGTAGATACCTCTGTTGTATAGAAGATGAAGCTACCGAGGTGGGGTTTTCCTTTCCTTTTTACGGAAGAAATCTAGAGAAACCAAGGGAATATAATTCAAAATTTCTCGCACTATGATCGATCGTGTTATTTCTCCACAATCTACGAGGAAACTGCGTTCATGCAGATCGCAATCCTATTTTGAATATCTGCACTTTTCAAGTCACTTTCTTTACAAAAATTATTATCTGCCTGGCTGCTATTGGGCCGGACGAACTTGGAACTCGGCCAAGTTATGAGAAGCCCACTTGGGTCCCCATCTCTCTCTCTCTCTCTCTCTCTCTCTCTCTATCTCTGTATGGGCTGTCTGTATGGCTTTCAGTGGCGGCGGTTGGAAGGAGTCGGCATATCTAGTGCGGGATTAATTGTCAAGTGGCGGCGATGGGCCCCTAGGATGGATAATCTCACATCTAGTGTGGGATTAATTGTCTAATCATTGAATGACGCCATACTAGTGATGTCATCTTTCTCTCTTACTTTCAGCCTTCATACAATGTCCCACACCTGTGCCCATGTGTTACCACCATGTGCACATGCCACATCGTGGCACTCTTTGTTGTGCTGTTGGGTGCCTCCACTATGCTGTCAAGCTCACACAACATGCGACGTCGCTATACATTCCCACTATGCCGTTATGCATATCCACTATGCCACACCTGTCTATGATGCAAGGTGTGTTGGTGCCAAAGTCACAAGTCTACATCCTTCTCCAAAGTGATTACCTTGTGTGGTTAACCTGTTCACTTTATAGGGTAAAAGGTGTTATGGTGGACATGATATACTTGTCTTCATCAACTAGTCGATGATTTAGAATAGCTTTCACCTACGTTGAATAATGTGATTGCACTATGGGTGGCAACTTATGTGGTCTATTCTCTACTGAGTCTTCCTTGTCGACATGATATGTTTTCAACAAGAAGATGTGGAAAACAAGGTACACTGAAAGGTGTTGTGAAAGTTGTAACTAATATGTTAATCATTCAATGCTTGTCTCAATTAGAAATGGTTCATAATTAGACCATTGTGACATTTATGTGTAATGTCTAATAATTTTACATAATTATCTTATTTAGTTGTAAACTAATAGTATAATATTCTTTGTGTATGTCTTTGATGCACTTCATTTGCCCATCTATTTAAAGGTAAAGGATAGTGAAAAAATTAACTCGATGTCAAGTAAGGTAAAGAGGGTTGACCATAATCAATTAGTAAATTGTGGGTCTTAGTCTGAAATAATATCTCATAATACATTTCAAAGCTTAACAATATGGGTTAATAATAATGTACCCACTTCCTCTGCCTTGCAATTAGATCATTCCATAATTAAAGTAACATATTTAAAAAAATGGTCTACCACAATTATGATAGGATTACATACACTAATTTTAAGAAGCTTAATTTGAAAATCTATCGACAAGTTCTCTCATAACCCTTTTGAAATATGGTGAGGCTCCAATATCTCTTCCGTATTATACAATTTGATCTTATCTCATTGACAAATGAGTTAAGAGCACATGTAAGCTCTTAGGTGTGTGTAGGGGGTGTCTTGTTCCTTTACGTCCCACTCCATGTTAGGTCAAAAGTAGCTACTCACAAAGAGTGATAATTTGTGTTGCTATCACAAGTTGGTCATGTGCAATGCAGCATGAGTCTCTCTTAGAACATGGGGTCACAATTGTCCTTCATGGGGAACATAGGGGCATTAGCATGGAAGACTCTATTTTTCATCTAGAGTCTATTAGTCTTACATGCTTCCATTGATTATATGAAGTTATTGGTCACTAGATCTATGGCATAGGCCTCTCATATGACATTCATCATTATAGGTGTTAATTTACTAGGTGGCTTATTCACTAAAGAGCTTATTGTGACTTAAAATATTTATAATTATATTAATAGAACTTAATTTATATTGAAGTGAGAAATCATATGCAATTAAAAAAGTTATATTATTGTGCTTGTTAAGGAGATAATTTCTTATGTGAGTTAAAGTAATAGATTGCGATGTTATTAGTTTAGAGTAAGAATGTATTGATCAACAAGTAGTGACACCACACCAGCAAACAATGTATAAGTAATATAATTTCCTTATCATATACAAAGTGTTGTTGCTCCATTTTACTTGATTTTTACTTTTAAAAATGATTGGATGTTTGCTCTACATGAGGACCCTAATAGCTACCTATGACACATCTATGTACTTCAAAAGTCTAAGAGAAGTTTAGTAATTAAAGAATTAACTCATTTGTGATAAAAGTTTGTGGTTGTTGAAAAATTATTGACATTTTTTCGTCTAAGTCTACCATCAATCATTTATCAGAAGTTCTATCAATAGTATAACACCATGAAAACCTCATGATGAACTTTTGATTGAAGTTGGCAAATTGTGAACAACCATAATTTGGAAACCTCTTTTGGTGTTAGTCATTCATTAATTGTATCTAATACATATTGATGCATTTATATAATTTTTTATTTGTTTTAGGTCTATTGAAAATTTTGGTCGAGTCTTATAAATATTTTGTTGAGACTTTTTTGATAATTTTAGATTTATTATGGGACTAATACAAATATTGTTGAATCTCAATTAAGAGCTTGTTGAAGTTGTTTGATAGTTTTTTATTTGTTTGTGAGCCAACAAAGAAGTTTAGTCAAATGAGGCATCTTCAAGCAGGGTGATGGCCAGGGTGATGTACTCCAGCTACCACTTCTTGGGAGCCAATGGATCAATAGGGCACCAGAGGAAGCCCACCATAACTGCTACCATGGTTGAGGGGGCTTGCATGGCGAGGAGCACGCTGAAGGTGATGGCCAAGGCAAAGCTAATGAGGTAGATGGTAGAGCAGGTAGTGACTCTAGGGAGGAGGCAAGCTTGTCACCAATCTCTTCGAGACAATGGCATATCTTTGGGAAGCTGGCAATACTGTTGAATGGGTTTTGTTTGATGTAGAACTCCTAGATGGCTGATGATAATAATTTACGACATTAATTTCTCTCTATGTCGCAAGGTGAATGTGCCTTGTAAGCCTTATGGGAGTTCTACATCAAAAAGAACCCAGTCAACGGTGCTGCCAACTTCCGAAAGATGTGTTATCATCTTGACGAGATCTGTGAGGATCTCAGAGCCTAATTTTGATGGGTGCAGCAGCGAGCCTACCTCCTCCCTAGAGTCGCCACCTACTTTCTTGTTTGCCTCATCGGCTCTACCTCGACCATCACCCTTGGTGTGCTCCGCGCCACACACACCTTGCTCGCTATGGTAACAGCTCTAGTGGGCTTCCTCTGGTGCCCTGCCGACCCACTAGCCCCCAAGAAGTGATGACTGATGGAGAACATCACTACAGCCATCACCCTACTTGAAGACGCCTCATTCAACTAAACTTTTCTTTCAACTCAAAAACAAATAAAAAATTATCAAACAATCTCAACAAACTCTTAATTGGAGATTCAACAACATTTTTGTTGTCTCATAATAAATTCAAAATTATCAAAAAAATATCAACAAAATATTTATATGAGACAACAAAGTTTTGATACACCTAGAATAAATAAAAAACAATATAAATGACTCAATAAAAACTCTATTCGAAAAAAATAAAGAATTATATATATATTGATTGAGATAAACTCAATCTAAAATTGAGCAAAAGCGCACTTTGTTGATTGAGATAAAGTTAGGTAATTTTTAGAATCTCAAGCACATGTTTCAAGAGTATAAGATGTTCATATAAAAAGGTTATGTGCTAATATGTCATCCAAATAAACCACCACAAATATGTCAAAAAGTGGTCGTAATGTATTATTCATCAAGGAACAAAAAGTAGTTGGGGCATTAGTGAATTTAAAATATATATTAGTAAATTCATAGGATTCACAATGAATGACATAAGGTGTCTTCTACACATCTTCTCCTTGATTTGAATTTGGTGGTATCCACTCTTTAAATCAACTTAGAGAAGACACATGTTACTTTCAACTAATCAAATAATTCATTCATATTAATGACTAAATATTAGTTTTTCATTGTGATCTTATTCAATATCATGTAATCCACATAGATCCTTAGAGATTAATTCTTTTTTAAAAAATATATTAATGGTTAATCTATGTTAACAATTGAAGGTTGATAGGGGCACCAACTCAAGAGGTTAGGGTTGCAACATTAGTCGAGGTCATGAAAGAGTAGCTCTAAAAGGTGTGTGACAAGAAGAGTATATCAATTATAATCAAGGAGCCCTAAGAAGAAGTAAGCATTTACACATTGAGTGATCATAGTAAATGAGATATCATATATGTGACAATCTCTACAAGAGTGTTGAATGTCCAAATTGAATATATTAACCTATGGCAAAGGCATGACTTAACTCAATACTTACATAAGGGCAGCCTCTATTGGTCTTTGAAGAAATACCTAACTTAAACAACATATACTATTAAATATTCTTCATGTCAAGACTATACACATGGCCCCCTAAAACTAATATTCATGGAAAGGGTGATCAATAAAATTATGACCAAAATATTTTTCAATTCAAGTGTCACATAACTTTTTATTGAAAGAAAAACTTAGACATTTGGAATTGAGTTTTATTTAATTAGGTAATTGAGTTAAGATAATGAACTATAACCAATTACCACCATTATGTTAGCTAAAAAGGTCGGAATAAAAATTGACAAATGATGAAATTTTATAGACCTTTTTATTTTACAAATTGATGATTATGAATTCATTCTCGATGTGAATTTACTATCAAAGTTAGAATATGAATCTTCTTTTACTACAATAGTTTAAACATATATGAGAATGAGTAATCTTGCTTCTACAAGAATTGACATATGAGTGAATGAAATCACAATTGATTTCGATCATATAACTCAAGATGAAATGTTGACATGATATATGCACCTTCTTTGTCACCATACAAGAGGTGAAAAGAGATGAAAAAAAGAACTCATGTACTATCCTCAAGTAAAACACTTGCTTGAAATATTTAAAAACATAACTTAGGACAAGTTAAATATTAGGTTTCTCTCAAAGTAAGAGATTGAACTGCAACTAAGAGAATGCTCTCTATCTTGAGCTTCCTACAAGATGCCTTTGACCCACTTAGAGAGTTGAGAAAATAGTTAGAAGAATTATTATAAGTGCAATAAATTCACCCCTCTTGAATACTATTTGGTATGCATGTCTTTTTTTAATAAACAAAAGATAAATTTTAAAGACTCTTTGTTTAAAGGGCATTAAACAAGATCACAATTCTAAAAAACGAACATGCTAGTATACAACTACTCTATAAAATGATCATTTGATACATGAAATATATACTCAAGATTCTGAAAACTAACTAATTATATATCATTTCAACGAAGTGTGTACTTTAAGTAGAAATCTATATGAGTAGATCTATATCATTTCAACTAATTGACAATGTTGTGGGATAGATAAATCTATATGGATTAGAGGAACTGATGAATAAAAAATATCTAATCATATATCTCATTTTTTTGGGATCACTAACTACTATTAGAAGTTCATTATAAGGTTTTGAGTAGTTATTTATACCATTAATAGAACTTCTCAAGAAAGATCAATGGTGAGCTTGAATGTAAGAGTGTTAGACTTTACTCATACTTTTAAAGTTGACAAGGTTCTCATGTAGATTGTGTTGAGTTTGCTATTACTAATCTAAGTACCAAGAAGATGGAAAATTGATTTCTTATATTTTTTATGTGTGTAAATTTGTCAACTCTTCTAATACAATTTATTATTTCTATATGTAACTTTATCTAATGTTTTCTCTTTCACTTTCAATAATGATGGATATATAAATATATTTTATACTGGTTCACCTTTCTCTAAGCTATGTTCCATATTAAAGGATCATCATTTCAAATTTTTACTATTTCTAATAGAATTATAGTGAACTTCACGAGCTCTAACTCTCCTAACACAATTGTTTGATCTCCACAATGATCTCACCTCTCAAAGTTAGTTATTAACTCACATCACCATATACTTAAGTTCAAGTACACTTTTCTTCATAGAATAATTTCGTCAATTGATAGATAATAACTCGTGCCTTAACTACCTTTTCTCCACTCATCACCTAAGTTATCTTATGACCTGATAAAGAAATATAGCATTCAATATACTAAAGTGATTCATTCATACATTACCATTGATGATTGGGAATGATGATGCTTTTATTCTTTTTTGAAATGTACAATTATTTTTTTATTAAGAATTAAACCACTTTTTTTTTTAACTTTTGTGAATGATGTGTATGAAGATTTATTCATTTAATATTGACTTCATTTGTTCTCACTTCCCCCTACTTATACTCCAACAAATTTATGTCACATCAACATCTGAAAATAGTTAAATTAATTTAAATATCTTATGATTGTTTTGTTAGCACTTTAGTGACCTTCAACTACTTTTCACTTCCAATCTTTCTTATCTAATGATAGTTGCTTGCGATTTTTTATTTGAAGATTCTTACTTGATCGAGAACATTTATACTCTTGTGATTTTACTCAAAAGATATCATTTGGCTTGTTGTTAATATATATCTTCTATTGACGAGTTACCATCCAAAAAAATTGGGTTTTCAAGCTTTGGTCATTCTTCTACTCAAATCTTTATACTCGCTATGTAGCATTTGATATTATGTATGGAGATATTCAACTGATCAACGAACATATTTGTCTTTATGATCAAGTTAAGATATTTGTTTAGTTGACTCGCTTTATTGATATATTATTGTGTAAAGTATGAAAAATTGACCTTGAGTCTTTGTTTGCTTCAAAACGTGCAAGTCTCTCATAAGTGATCTTCAAAGCTTCTATCTAGAAGTATATGTAACTTCAAGTATTAATCTTTCACTTGGTATCAAGTTATAACTTGATCATTTATATTTTGTCATTTTCACCATATAGGACTGATGTGACACTATGTAAACTACATGACAATGACTTTTCCACTTCATTCTTTGCTTCGTGTGAACAGTCTAACTTAACTTTCTTGAGGGTTTTGAGTTCAATCAATGATTACATTTTTTTATTGAATATCTCAATTAGCTTTTCATGTGTTGTAATAATGCTTCAAATTTAAATTTCACTCATGTTTTGATTGAATAATTCGACTATCATCCCACTTTCACATAACTCACTTCCTAAGTTCAAGTCCCATGTTCATCATAATACATCTTTGATACTTTAGACATTTTGTGCACTAATGTTTTTATTCTTCAAATTGATCATTATTGCATTTAAATATCACTAATGAGTTTATTTTTCAAAATATTCATGATATTTCATCATACATTTCGACACTTGTTATATTATTCTTATAGTCAATAAATATTGTGTTGCATTGCTTTAATACAAAAGAATATCTCAAGAATGTGACTCTTCAATGTTATCTCAAGAATATTACGTTGTATTTCTTTAGATTTGTTGTTGGTCATAAAATTATGTAATACATCATCAATGCGTAAGATTTGAATGTTTGTCAATTAAATTTATCATGTCGTGAAATATTGATAATACATGTTATGATTCAACTCATTCAAGAATGATTTGTAAATAAATTTTCCCTATATTTGTCAAAACACACTGTGTTAACATCAAGGGCATATACATGTCAAACATTCAATGACAACATTCAATAACTTCTGAATGTAAACAATTAAGTGATATAGTACCCTATTTATGACAAATAAATGACATCAATTGTATATTACTTGTAGGTGTAGTATCACTACTTGTTGGGCGATGACTTGCTCATCTACATTGATCATGTTGCCACCAACTACTTTAACTCACAAAAGAAATTATTGTCAAGCAAACACAATATTATGATTTTTTTAATTGAATATAATTTCTCACTTCAAAATAAATTGAACAATGTTAATGTGGTTACAAATACTTTGAGTCGCAAGAAACTTCCTAGTAGACTAGTCCCCTATTTAGCTAGCACCAGCAAAGATGGATGCCGTATGAGAGGCCTACATTATTGACCTGACAACCAATAACCTCATACAACAAATAAAGACATGCAAGACTCATCAATCCTTGATAGAAGATGAAATCCTCAACATAAAGGTTCAATGCCCCTATGTGCCCCATGAAGAACAGCTTAGATGATGGCTTCTTCAAGAGACTCATGATGCATCGCACCTGGGCCACCTTAGAAAGCAACATATCCTGACACTCTTTGGGGGCAACTACTTCTAACCCAACATGAGACAGGACGTAAAGACTTACATGCACTCTTGTCTCATTTGTCAACATGATAAGATCAAGCAGCAGAATGCAATGAGGACTTTGGAGCTTTTCCCCATTCTAGAATGGCCATGGGTGTCATTGTTGATGGATTTCATCACTGGGCTTCCCAAGATTAGTGTTCATAATATTATCTTAATAGTTGTGGAATGTTTTTCCAAATATATCACTTTTATTCTAACACAATTTGACTACAAAGTAGAAGAAGTCGGGGGAATATTATTGACACATATTGGTAAAGTTTGAAGAGTAATATTATTTTAGACCAATACCTATGATTCGTCAAAGACTTTTGGTCAACCCACTTTTACCTTAACATCGAACCTAACTTTTCTATTACCTTTCACCCTCAAACATATGGCCAAATAAAATGTGTCAATAGTATGCTTGAAGAGTACATTCATTAATACATGACCATCTCGACAAGATAATTGGGTGTAACTGTTAGACACTGCGTGGTTTACCATAACATTCAGCATTGTTACTCGATTGAGAACTCACATTTTGAGCCGGCCATGTGCTGCCAATCATTGACGCTGCTAAAGATTGTGAAGTAGAGGGGACAGAGATACCTACTAGCCACCTACCATTTTTCTAAGTAATGCAAGACATCATTGGAGAAGCTCATGAGGCCTTTGCAAAAACAACACATAGGATAAAGACAAACGCAAATTGTCATCGAAGGGAGGTTGAAAATGTGATGTTAGCAATTGGGTGTTGCTACGAATATACCTAATGCATAAGAGCCTTCGACATGTGTCAGATGCTTATCATATCAATTACAACTTCTACAATGTCTCTTGGTGTACCTTATCCTCCACATCTTTTTGCTGAAAACACATCACGCTGATAAAGAAGAAAGACTCAACTAAGAACAAACCACACACACTTCCACTCATAGTACAATCACACTATTCAATGCAAGCAAAGGATATCCTAGATCATCAATTGCTTGATGGAGGCAAGCAAAATCACACCCACCACAATACCTTCTACCTCATCATGTGGCCAAATTAACCATGCAAGGCAGCCACTTGTGAGAAGGACGTAGGCATTTGGTAATTCAAAGAATAATTAGGAGTTACCATGCCCTGCAACATCTGATAAGAATGTATCTCACTAGTGGGAGAGAATATTACTACGGTCACCTTGTGGGGACAAACCTTGGCACTATCACACCTCACATCGTAGACAAATGTGGCATGGTGTATGCGCATGGACCACACGGTGGCATGGGATATGCACATGATGGCACAATGCAAGAGCTTTTCATCACGGCATAGCAAGAGCACAATGATGTGGCGACAAGATGCAGGCATAGAAGTGAGACATGGTATGAAGATTGAAAGTAAAGGAGACATGACATTAGTAACATGGCGTCATTGCAATGATTAGATAGTTAATTCCATACCATATGAGGGATTAATCGTCCTAATGGCCTGTCTATATAGAGGGACCCATACTCCTTTTTTTATGAGACCTTTTGAGTTATTAGGTTTACCTCTTTGGTCACCATTAACCTCTTGGTCACAATTAACTGGCTGGGGATGGGTACACCCCGTGCCAAGAAAGGACTGCACAGAACAACCAACATCTTTGTCACACTCTAACTTGGCTCAACTTCTACATACAACTAAGTGTAGAGAGAGAGAGAGAGAGAGAGAGAGAGAGAGAGAGAGAGAGAGGAAACCTATCAGACGCCCACATGGCAAAGAGATCTGGCACACTGACGCTTATGGGTGAAACTTGCATGAAGAAAAGTCGCATAAAAAATGGTGGCACTGAAGAAAAGATAGCTAGCTGATCATCACGCTAGAAAATGGGGGCTTGGGAGGAGGATCAATCCCAGCCGTTGATCCAAGCATATCCTTGACACGTGGAATGGGCTCTTGGGCCTCGTTTGACTGTCAGAATATTATATTGATGGTATTTAATACTCGAAGAAAAAGAAGCTACATAAAATTAAGAAAGATTTGAATAAACAAGCTTTCACAAGATTCTTTTAGGGTGAGCAAAGTGGTACCCAAGAACAGGCAAGAGCTCTTTGGTGGAACTAAGATTCTATTTCCTTCAAGATGTGCATCTTTGATTCCCTTGTTACCTTCTGCCATTTCATCATCTAAAATGGCTATATACTTAATATTGACTCCCAAAAGAAGAAGAAAAAAGGGTCTTTGACTGGATGATACCTCACGATGAGATGCCTAGGAAACAGCTGACCAATAGAATCCAAGCACAGAAGCACATCATCTCTGAAGTGTCCAAACAATTATAGTTTCAGTACAAGAATCTCCATTTCTTTCATATATATCTAGGGGAAAAAGAGTGAATTGGTGGGTGGGGCAGTGGGGCAGGGGAGTGGTTGGATTATGATCTTCAGAATAATCAGTCAGCCCAAAAAGCGATCTTTCTGAAAGACCCAATTTGCCAATAATAACTGGGTAATTTACAGCCAGAATGAGCTATGGTCCAAGCTCCACGCTCCATAGGCAATGTGCAGCTAAACATGGATGTAATCTGGAAAACAAGAGATGGCATTTGCGTACCCATCTTCAACGCATCATCATAATCCAGCTAGCCATTCCAATTAATCACAGAAAGAAAAAAATAAAAACCCAAAAAAAGGCCAAAAAATATATAACTCGACTACAAGAGGATACCACGGATCATGCGTACGCTGGGGAAAATTTCCAGCTAATAGATAACAGACAAAATCATTCAAAACTAAAAGATCTAATTGATTTCACTCAAACCAAAGACATGCATCCCGTTGAGTTCTCAGCTTAATACAGTATAGTGATTCTAAAGATAGGATGCGGGGAAGAAGGGGCATTGTTTGGTTCTTCAGATGTTCCTCTATATACAATATCTGCAGGTACGACGAAAATATTGGAACAGGAAAACAGAGCATCCTCACCGCAGGTACAAAAAGGAGGCACTATACCTTAGGGAAGAACCCCTTTCTCTCCATAATTATGCATCGAATCCACCAAGATTGCAGTGAGGAATAAAACTCTGTCCTCGCAGAATGGGAGAGCGAGCTTGGCGTGACCTGCCAGGGTATAAGCTGCCAAAGGCAGGGAAACGGTCGTAATCCCCACCAAGAACATTGGGTACCGGGTTGAAAAATGGGGCGGGATCTCTTCGTCGCAGTGGCGGCACAGCGTATTGATAGATACTGGAAACCTCTCTGTGCCTCTTATTTCTCTTTTGATCTTCCCAATAAGTTGCAAATCTGTATTTCCATCGCGTTCCGACATTGCCTCTCAAATCACACGCTTCGCGGCCGGGGAATTCCGCCATGAACTTCTGCTTCCACAGGTCCTCGTTTGATGAGAGATACCTCAGTTCAGAGTTCACACAGGCAGCTCTCGCAAGGTCGGCACCAGGAACAAGCTCCAATATCCGGATCTTGAGCTCTGCGGGAAGGCAGATGAAGCAGGGAGGAGGAGGCAATCTATTCTTGTAGCACATATCCATCAGGAGAGGCAGGGAAAGCTTGTCCTTGACGCTCCTCCAGAATTCAAAGATCACCTTCTCGTCTTCCTCAGACATCGAGTTCATATATGAAACAATAGAGGGAACAAATTTTGACGCATCCAAGCAGAGGCGATATATATCGGAGCTTCCAGTCAAGCACCCGTAGACATCTGCAAACTTTCCAACCAGCAGAATCTTAAGCTCTACCTTGTCCACAGCCGCATAGAAATTAGGGCTTGTGATCTCCGGCAGAGTATACGAAATCGAGACCGTGGAAGCCTTCGAGGTCCACCCTTCCGTCATGCTAACGCCTCGAGACTCGTGCTCGACGAAACCAGACTCCAGGAAAACGGCGTGGACGGCGATCACCAGGATATCCAAGTCGCCGTTCGCCTTCTCGCTCCCCTGCACCCCTTCCACAACCCTCTTCAGGAACCGCGGTACCGAGCAGGTGGAGGACCTCCTACTGTCCAATTCCATCATGTCTGCCACAACGGCCGACTCCTCCTCCAAGATCCTCCCCGACATCGTCATCTCTTCCTGCACATGTCCGACGACGGACACTACCTCTTCGTCGATCGGTCCCCGAGGGGGAGTAGCTCCCGATCCCGAACCCGATCCTTCTCCTTCATTAAGGATCGAAGCTACGGTTGGAATCTGTTCCTCCAACTCACAGCCAGGAAGCGATCCAACTCCACCCCGTGGAGCCGCAGCGGCCATCGCTGGGGTAGGCGGAGCAGAGGGGGGTTGCGAGAAAGCCGAGGCATCCATGGTGTAGAAGACGAGATCTCCGGAAGCAAGTCCGAGAGTCTGGAGGGTCTCCTCTGGGAGCGTCGCTGTGAGCTCGTCCCTGCGGTTGAGGGAGAGGTGGACGGCATCCGGGGAGATCGGAGCAGCCGCAGAGGAAGCGGACGAGCTCACGCGGCCGGCGATCAGAGCCTTGAGGTCCCCGAGGGTCATGGAGGGCGAGATGCCGACTCTGATCGTCTCCTTCGTCTCCGATGAGCGGATCCGCAGCTTCATAACTTCTGCACGAAGAAATCACCCAGAGGGAGAGAGAGAGAGAGAGGGCGGCGAAGTCTGGTCATGGCGGTTAGGCTTCCTGAGTTTATTCCAAACCGGTGTGAGCGAGGACGGCATGCGGTGCGTTCATTAAAATGGGCTAGCCCAATTATCAAGCCCTTTATGAAGATCCTATCCCATCCCCCGACCCAGATACGTTGATGGGCCCACATTCTCAGATAAGCCCACTTACGCTTACGGAAAATGAATAAATTAATTATTTGGGCCCACTTTGACAACCCAGATGAGCATACTTTATCCGATCCGTCCACGGCGAGTAGCCCAAGTTGAAGCCCGAAAATATCTATTCCTTGGGTATCCGTCGGCCCACTTAACTTACAGCGAACCACTTAAAAAGCCTTCAGCGTTCAGATCACCCCATTAATAGCATACAGCGAGAGAGAGAGAGAGAGAGAGAGAGATACAGGGATCTTAGATGGATATCGACCTGCTACGGCGCCAGGCATTGACGAGGGCCGGAAGGGGGCTGCAGAGATCAGTCGAAGAAAGAAGACCAGAAGGGGGACCCGGAGGCGGGTTAGGGCTTTGACGGCGGATAAGAGCATTCTCTCTCTCTCTCTCTCCCTCTCCCTCCTCTCTTTCTCTCTCTACTGCAGGAGGAAGAGAGAGAGAGAAGACAGTGCAGAGGCAGGGACTGGAGCGCGAACAGAGTGGGAACACGGGTAGTTTCGGTAATCTCGGCCTCATCTCCTCCGTACAGAGCTCCTCTGCCCACCGCTGTCGGTGATCTTTGGAACTCGGGGGCTGACCGGGCCCACATTTTCGGGCTTCCCCACTAACCATCAAACCCCGACCCGACCCTACCCAGTCTCTCTCTCTCTCTCTCTCTCTCTTTCTAGTTCCGGGCTTTCCGGAAGATGCCAGGCGCAAGGCCCGCCCAGTTCGGACGGACCGATACGCAATTCATATTTTTAAACAAAATATATTCTGAAATTAAACTGATAGCAATATACATGAAAATTTTAATTAAACCATTTAAATGAATTAATTTCCGTGGACGTCGTGCTCTGGAGGCAAGATTGGGGCCATCTGAGGAAACCAGGCCCATTATCAGTAGACGCACCATGGACCCACTAGAGGGCCCATCATTAACTCTCCAAAGGGGTATCATAGACGAGAGAAAAATAGTCAAGTGGCCCATAATCTCCTCAATAAGCCCATGTTACAAAATTTTGGGCCGACGGCCCAATAGCGGGGGATCTAAAAGAATTCAAATCGCTGACCTTTTGGAATCTGTCGACCTAGCAGCCAGAGCAGCAGCTTAAACGTCGGTCCACGCGGCAAAAACAGGCCTGGAGACCGTTGAGGACGGCTGGGTCATCGGCATCCACGACGTGGTGATGGGAACAGAGGTGTCGAACTGGGCGACGCTGACTGGCGGCGGCGAGAACGGCGGGGTCCCGCAACCACAGCCGGCGGCGGCGGCGGGTACCGAGGAGTCGCCCTTCTGTAGGGCGAGGTCAACCATCCCCGCCGCCGCCGCCACGGCGGTCTTCCTCCTGGCGTAGTCAGCGGTGAGCGGGGTGCTGCTCGCCGCGATCTTCTCCACGTCGTATCGAGTAATGTCGAAGTTAGTGACGGCGCTTAGCCCCCGGAACTTGATGGCGGCGACGTCGTAAGCTTCTGCGGCTTCCTCTTGGGTGCCTGCAACGTAGACCGCGAACGAAGACGTGTCGATGGATGATCATCTCGACCAAGAAAGTCAACCAACATCTTCCAAAGAATGCGGGACGAGATGACGGCGATAATCCTGCAGATTATCGTTCCACCAAAAGCCCGAATATTTTAATCGGAGCTCACCGAATGTTCCAAGATAGAGGTCCTTGTTGCCGGCGACCCTCCCGATCCGAGCCTGCCATCTGCCATGCTGGTGATGTCTGAAGAACAGAGAAGATAATCACAGCATGTGATAAGGTGAGGATGGGAAAATGTGCGAGAAAACATTAGAGAATGTCGGTTCATTCGAGATAAACTCGTCGCCCACCTCGTGACTCCTCGGTACATCGACGCGCCCCTCGAAAACCCGCTGCTCTTCCTGCAAGCAGCACCACCCACCGATAGAGAGAGAGAGAGAGAGAGACAGAGACAGAGAGAGAGAGAGATTAGCTGGTTTTCACTAGGGATGGTGAGTTGTGGGCTACCTTCTCAAGTGGGCGACGTACTCCAGGCGGGTCATGTTCTTCATCTCTTCAAGCTCATCGCGGTAAGCTTCCAACTGAGTCAAACCCAGATGGATGGATCAGAACAGAAACTCGAAGAACAGCGGGTGGTCCATTTGTGAAAGAAAGTCAACGATGAGCGGCGCCGGAGATACCGGGAAGTTGATGTGGGTCGAAGTCCCCCAGTATTTGAGCGCCGCTAAGTCGTAAGCCCTCGCGGCCTTCTCTTCCGTGTCGTAGCCTCCTGATCGGTCGATGGACGGGTTACAAACCGAGGCGTTGACCAACCAAGATTACGAACTTACGGCAGACAAAAAGAGGAGATCGAAGAAGAAGATTACCCAGATAGACTGGAGATCGTCGAGGAGTTTAATGGCGTCCCCGCCGTCGTAAACGGAGACAGAACAGGGAAGACGGTCAGAAAACGAGAAGGCTCTGGACGCGATAGAAGGAGAATCATTCATGCCCAATAGAAGATGACGCTGACCTTGCCTCCCCTTCCTGGTTTGGCCCTCCTTCTTGCAGCTGTTGTCCCAGAGATGAGCCTCGTATCTACCAGTCCACCTGTGTCTGAGGAAGACGAAGGGCGGGCTCGTCGGTCGGAAATAAACCCTGCAAATTTATGGCGGGCCGATTTACGCGGTTTTGTTCTACGAACCTTGTGACCCCTCGATACTGAGAAGTCCGCTGCCCGAAGGTATCGATAGACTTGCGGTGGAGAGGCTGCTTCTGGGCGTTCTTGAAGCTCCCCATCTTCTTGACCTCGTTCATGGAGTCACCGTCGATGGTTGCAGAGGGAGGAATCTGCAGAGAGGGGTTGACGGAGGAGGGCTGAGAGAAGGCCGCCGGTGGCTCCCCCATGGGAGGAGTTTGGAAAATGCTCTGCAGTGGCTGCTGAAGATAAGACTGTTGGTGCTCCTCCGACCGAAAGGGAAGGTGGAGGAGCTCCAGAGAGTGGTGGCCTCTGATACTGTCGTCATTCCCGTAATGGTGGATCTCCATGGCCGAGCCGGCCCCGCCGCCGCCTAAGAAATCTTCCAGTTTTGGGGAAGAAGACGGCGCCATTCCTTCGCCAGATCGCGGCAGCAGGTCAGAGAAGAAGAGGAAGGGAAAGAAGGGAGGAGAGGAGAGAGAGAGGGCAATCCACCTTCCATTATGCAGACGGGTCCATCGGACTTGAACGGGGAAAAGAATAGCTGAGAGTAGAACCTTTCGTTTTCCCCTCCGACTCCATAGCAGATTCCATTGCTGCTTACAGTGGGAGAGAGGAAGAGCCCCCCCGGCACCGAGGCACCCTGATGATGTGGGTCTGCAGGAAGCTCCATGTGGGGGTAGAGAGAGAAACCCAGCCAGTTGTGGCTATTATTGTTCATGGGCTTAATTCCTCACTCTTCTATAGAGAAAGAGAGAGAGAGAGCGGCGGTGGGGGAGGGGTGGGGAGAGAAGAGAGGGGAACTCGAGGCTGGTTGGTCAATCATTTAAGATCAAGAACACTAATCATTCCCACACTCTTCTCCTGCTCGCCCACACCCCAACCAGGGGGGCGGATGTCTTCTTTCCGGGAGGGAGAGCTCTCACGGGGGGAAGCAACACATGAACACATGGACGAATAACAAGAACCAGTGCTCTTCAAGCAGAAGCAAAGAGAATGAACTCCGCCTAATAAACTAACGATCATGGGTATCTGCGTTCTCAGACCCAACCCGAGGCGACCCAGAGACGAGAAGGATTGCACCACTCCGGAGGAGAGAAGGGATTCAGAGGACTGTGTAATTAATTTAACTGCAGAGGCTATCTTCGGCAGGGAAGGGAGGTCTCTCTGTCTCTCTCTCTCTCTCTCTCTCTCTCTTCTGGACTGGCAGGACAACTGTCCATCCCGTCACTTCTCAATAGTACTGGCACTTCCTGCGCGAAGAAGACAAGGGAGAAAGAGAGATGAGAGGCCTTTATTAGTTATCGTCATTAGGGTTTAGGGTTATCTTTCCTCCCAGCTATCCTCCTGCTGGACGGAAAGCTACGAGGTCAACCTGAGAGATTTCCCGAGGAGAAGGGCGCTGTTCATCGCCTTCATCCCCTCCACTCTCCTCTTCCGCCGAGAGAGCGACGGCGATGTACCTCGTCCAGAAGAGGGCGGGTGCACCTGAGCATTTCCTCCTCTTTCTGCTGTGAGCCCCGGTGACTGTGGCGGAGGAGAGAGAGAGATTGCACACGGGTGGGGGAGAAGCTTGATCCCGCAGACTTGCACGAAAGGGACCAGATCCTCTGTTTCCACGCTGTCGATTCGTGGACAAGACGACGATCAAAGTGCCCCCGGTCTTCCTCTCCACAAATATTCGCGCATTAAATGGGTTAAAAACGGGATTAAATAGATCTGATAACATAGGTTGAACATACGCTCATAAAAGTTCACGTAAGTTAATCTTCTATCGAGAGTGATATAAGAGATTGGTGGTTGCCGGCCTTCCCATCAGTTCCTCCGGGTGGCCTTCGCACGAACACCTTCGTGGCGGAAGGGGGAGGAGCAGAGAGGCTCAGAGGAGGGATGGGGGGCCCGTCGGCCCAACCCTTCTGGCCGGGGGATGGTCCAATTAATTGCTGACGTTCTGCCGTCCTCTCGGGAAACACAGAATCCAAGCAAGATCCCAAACAATAAGGCATCCCCCCTCCGAGGGAATGGAGAGAGAGAGAGAGAGAGCCCACATGACATTCCCTTTTTTTCCCCCCTCGATCCCTCCTCTGCAACCCATTAAAGCTAAAGCTCGCCATTAATGCCTCTCCTGCTCTCGATCTCTCTCTCTCTGGGTTTTGCACCCTCTGTTTCTCTCTCTTCATCTTAATGAAGCCAACCATAAGAGGTCAACCTCCCGGGGGTGGGGCGGCGGGCGGGCCCTCATCCATCTGTTCTCCTTCCGTCTTGTTTCTCTCTGTTCTCTAGCTACGGGCCTTTGCTGCCGCCGGGGACGGCGACAGATACAGAGGGCAACTCCGGCCACTGAGAAGGGCTACCCCGCTGGATTGGCCTCTGCGCATGCAGAGAGAGAGAGATAGGGAAACACACGCAGAGACATATAAATGGTACCCTCTCTCTCTCTCTCTCTCTCTCTCTCTCTCTCTCTCTCTCTCCGGCCCATCTCCTTCTCTCCCTACCGACGGCGGCAGAGTACGATTAAGAGACGGCAAGGATAGCAGAGAGAGTTGAATGCCAGGGCCCGAGGGGCCGGGCCGACTCTTGATAGGGAAGGCCCGGAGGCCATTTCACCAATTCCGGGGGATATCAGTGCAGAGAAAGGCGCAGAAAATATGGGGTTCAGTGAGTCGAGAGAGAGAGAGAGAGAGAGAGAGATTAGGTGCCACGTGGCGACAAAAAGGGGTTCTACGGGGCTCCGGCCCGGCCCGGCCCGGCGTAAGCCAGGACCCAGCTCGAGAAGCTGTTGGGCTCATTGGGCCATTAGCTACCGTTCCAACTACAAACAAATGGAGAACTCTCTCACTAAGGCTGAAATCAGAGTTTTAGACCTCTCCACAGCACCCTCATCTCTCTTTCTCTCTCTCTCTCTCTCTCTCTCTCTCTCTCTCTCTCTCTCTCTCTCTCTCTCTTACAACAGAGAAATCAGCAGATTCCGAACTGGTTGTCACCATCTTCGCACCAACGACGTCAATAACTGCAAAGGAGGGGAAACATACGATGTTATTGAGGCTATGAACACCTGTTTACTCCAAGGTTTCTCCTAACATATGGATGTACCAGTCACCCACTCAGCAATCCCTCTCTCTCTCTATCTCTCTCCTACATACAGAGATAAATATAGACGGCTTGCTATGTGAGGAAAGCCATGATGATCAGTTCCTTATATTTGGGTCGATCTCGGCAAGAGTCAACATGTAGGGGTCTGGGGAAGAAGAACTGACTGGGGTTGTCTACTGCATGAAATAAAGTGGTTCACGCAACTTAGTGGGTCTGGCTAATTTGTCAACCAATGGCCTCGCCGTACAAATTCCACACTTCAGACAGTTGACCATTTCTTAAATCGTTAGACACAGGAGAGGGTCCTCTCTGGTCGCATGATGGTCAACTAGATTAAATAGAGTGAATGGAGCCATGTGAGTTTCTCAACATCTATCATACTTTATGGGCAGTCACAGAATGTCTCTCCACATATACAGGGTGGGTTTGACTTTGCCCTCCTAATTCCTTCATTTGCTCCACTAATTTAATTTATTCACCAACCACTAAAAAAAGTAAAAAAAAAGGGAAGATTTATATAACTAAGCCTCATTGAATGATGACGACTAGACGAATACATCATGATATTTCCCTTCCCTATATATTCCATGAATGTTTGACTTTGCACTCCTATTATCTTCAGTTTGACCACGACAATTTAGTCCTCTAATTCTGTTCTTGGTCCTAAACAGTATTATCTATTCACCAGCCACTTAAAAAAAGACGACAATTAATAGCATTATTAAACGGATGAACTTAAAATAATAAATGAACGGAGCATGATAATTTAGCCCTCCTCACCTCAAAGAGCTCGAAGGGGCTGCCGCGCTTGTACACGTCGTTCTTCTTGCCTTGCCTGTTTGGGAAAAGGGTGTACAGAAGCGCCCGCCATCCAATCAGCAAGACGCCCGTCGTTCCCATGGTTATCAGTACAAAATTAACCGGAGGCGTGTGGCCCAATGCAAAGGACCTAATGAGCAGCCCCGTCTGGGAAGAAAAAAAAAAATGGATATTTTCCTAAAAAGGCATCCGATAACTTATCCAAATTTAAGCTTTCATGGCATCTAAACGGGAACCATGCATTAATATTTGTGCATGAATATGAAGTGGAAATTATAACAACAGAGTCATATTGATTTTTATGGAACTATACATGCCATGATATATTTATAGCTTCATGGAGACAAATATTTAATTCAGTCAGGAGTGGTGGCAGTCTAGTAGTTCACATCATTGCAAATCGAAGCCTAGTGTTGCCAAACATCTCACTGCACAACTTCTACAGGATCATATCAGTTGCAGCGGCTGGAATTGTTTTTTTTTTGTTTTACCGTAGACAGGATGATATTTTCGCTAAGAAAGGAGTACTTTTTGGTCCTATGAGGCAATGGCATTGAACCAGTCTCTCGTGTCATCCATAACTCATCTGCATATATGTCCTCCCAAACTTTGTTTCAGGTGAGATTAATCAATAAGCTTCATTTCTTTTCCCATTAGTATCCTTCATGCCGTTACATTTGTTCAGAAAACTGTTCATCACTCAAGAATCACTCAAAGAATTATGATCCCAGATGATCAGAAGACCAACATCATCCTGAGGATAAAATCGATGGGCTGGCTCTGTTCATTTCAGATCGATTCTTACTCGGATAGCTTGATTATTTCACTAGGTTACAAATGATGAATTTAGACCATCATTTCATCAGGCCCTGAGAACGTTTCCAAGTTTTGTGGCAAAGAACTAAGCTAAATATACAATTTTTAATAATGAACAGAGGGGCCTTTAATCGAGCTGAAATTTCTTCGCCTTTCAATTATGACGGAGCCATTAGACTGTAGATGTTCAAGTGTGAACAGATTCATATCTATGTTTCATCAATTTTGTGTGTGTGTGTGTGTGTGTGTGTGAGAGAGAGAGAGAGAGAGAAGAGACCTTTCAGAATTACTCACTGGTATACCGGCTGCCCAAGACTTGGCACCAGCAAGAACAGCTTTAGATGTTCAAGTGTGAACATATTCATATCTATTTTTTTATCAAGTGTGTGGTGTGTGTGTGTGTGTGTGTGAGAGAGAGAGAGAGAGAGAGAGAAGAGAGCTTTCAGAATTACTCACTGGTATACCGGCTGCCCAAGACTTAGCAGCAGCAAGAACAGCTTTAGGACGATCATTCACGCCCTTTCCATCATCCCCATATCCGCCGAGGAAGTAGGCACCGAGAAACCACCCTGCCAGAGACCTTGAATAGCTAAAGCCAAGAGGCAGGAACCACTTCACCGGTGAACGGAATTGAGAACCAGGATAATCTACCGGCAATAAAAGGGTCGGCGGTGCGTAACGTTTCCATGTCGAGAACTGGGAGTCCGTGGTTGAATCTTCCAATGGCGGAGAAGACGAGCAGGAACAGGACATCCCCACCCGCCAGTAGAGCCACCCGCCTGGATCATCCCCACCGAGGAACCACAATCCATCCCAGTTACTCGCGGCGAGAGAATTCGAACTCCGAACCGAGTAAAAATCCGCCGCGGAGGGAAGAAGATCATTCACTTACCCCCACGACTCCAAGCGCGAGGCCGTCCTCGGCCGATCGAACTGGATCACACCCTCCAATGGCACCCCCTTCTCCCCGACAAACACGGTCTCTCCGCCGCCGGGAAACGGCCGGGAAGACGGAGGTGAGGAGGCCGTCGGCCGGGCGGCGGCGGCGTTGCCCGTCTCCCCGGGCCCATCGGCGGCGCTCGACGAATTGACAGTGAGCCTCAGATTCCTATCCGGGCACCGCCGGGAGGACGGCAACGGGCAGCACTTGGAGAAGAGCGGAGTTCTCGTCTTCGAGAAGGGAGGAAGAGGGGGCAGCGCCGTCGGCGAGCGCCGCCGCGTGGAGAGGCCGCCGATGGCCGGCGCCTGGCTCAGCATCAACATCATCTCCCAGGATTGTGGCGCGGAAGCTAAGCGGCCCCCTCGGGGATCTTTCTAATAAGATCGAACGCTATCGCCGTGTACGATGTTCCGGCAGGAACATCGTTACTAAGTTGCTTCGCTCCCTCCCATTCGGCCCAAATAGGCTACCTGCTATTATGGCTTTTATTGGGCGTGATGGTCCAACTTCACAAAGCCCAAGCCCAGATGTAATATATTTTTTCTGCACCGACGAGTCGGGGGCCGAGAATCGGAGAGCGGCTCGTCCGATCCTGGACGGTGGGGCCCAGAGAAGTGGGACAGGCAGGCAGGGTGAGAGGCGTGCCGGATCGGGGGAAGCAACGAGCCGGGCCCTCCGATTTCCCCGACACCGCAACCGCGTGGGCGGCGGGTCGGCCCGGAAACGAGTGGCGCTTGTGGGGCCCCACCCCCCCTCCGTCGCTGTCGGAGGGATCCCCCACCTACATGGCTAGATAAAAAGAAGGGGCCCTTCGCAATGGCTGGACCGCTACGTCCCTGTTTAAAAGTCGCCGTGCCGATTTACTGTAGAGAGAGAGAGAGAGAGAAGAGAGAGAAAGAGAGGGCGGCGGCGTGGTGGGGGACCAAGGCACGGGCACGAGGACCGCAACTTCTTCCTCCTTTTTAGAGAGAGAGAGAGGGTTGAAAATTTGCGGAGTTGACTACGTGGAATGACCCGAGTCCAACACAAAAGACTCAAGTGTTTACCTCGTTTGTTGACGTTGTAGGAGGCGTAGGGAGGAGCCGAGTCCCTCGCCGGACTGGGCGTCTCGAGAAGAAGCGCCGGCGCTGGCGGAGCACAGCGGCGCTGGCCGAGCTCCGGCGTTCGCGGAGGAGCAGTAGCGCCGCCCCGGCAGTTCCAGCTGTGAATGAGTGCTGTCCGCGGGTCAGAAGAGCCTTGGATTTTACTGCGTTCAACGGCGGGCCTCATTCTGTTCTCTGGGCTTGAAAACCAAGTCAGAAGTAAAAATACGACGTAATATCCCCCCCCCCCCCACTCTCTCTCTTTCTCTCTCTACAAATCCCCCCACTCCGGGTTGGCCAGAGCTCATAGGAATGAGACCAGAGCGGGCCGGGCTCCATTTTTACCCGGGCCTTTTACCTCGGCATACCTACTTGTCCGGCCCGAATTCAATTCCGCTCGGGCTGGCGGCCACCTCCCCTCCCCTCGCTTTTATCCTCTCTCTCTCTCTCAAAAACGGTCTCCAACTCTATCTCTTTATCTCTCTCGGGGAGGACAATAATTTCGGCTACGCACAATAAAAGCTAGACGTCCCACCTCCTTTACCATGCTCACCCACCATCTCTCCTTCTCTCTCTCTCTCACACACACAATCACACTCACTCACTCTAGAATTGGGAGCATGTCTCTCCGGAGGGACCATAGGGAGGGTGTTTGTATTTTCTCCAACATTCTCAGTGGGAGGACAGATAGGCCATCGCCGCCGCACCAAGGTTAATGGCCGAGCTGCTCCTCCTTCATGGCCATTCAATGCCCCCAGCCCCACCTTTCTCTCTCTACCCTCCTCCAGCACATGCTCCCCAACCCCATCCTCTCCCCTCTCTCTCTCTCTCTCCCCCCCCTCCCTCTCTACCGTGTGAGAGAGGGCACAAAGGGAGTGAAGCCGGGGGAGAGAGAGTAAATGGGCCCCGTGGACCAGTCACCGCCGCCGACGCGCCGTAAAAGTGAGACGGGCGCGGGTTCTCTACTTACCTTCGGGAACGAAACCGCCAATCATGAAGCTACGATAGAGAACGGAGAGAGAGAGAGAGAGAGAGAGAGAGAGAGAGAGAGAGAGAGAGAGAGAGAGAGAGAGAGAGAGAGAGAGGGGGGGGGGTTAGGGACAAAACGATACATGGGCATTGAATAAAGTGAGGAAGATATGTCTGAGGATCCCACTCGAACAAACATTAGAAAGCAAGTCGATGGCGAACTCGGAGGGCCGGCGAGCCCGGCCCGGGCCATATTTGTGACTTGGACCCCGGCTACGGGTTTTTTATTGGGCTTCTTTCGGGCCAGAATAAATCTCACACGTAGAGGACGACCCCCCCCCGCTTGTCCCGACCAAGTGGATTAGTATAAGACAGGGTCTCCACGTGGGAAGCAACTGCGGGGCCCACGTACTTGGCGCGTTCCATTATAAGGCCACTTTCCTAATACGACAACGAGCCCCCGCGCCCCCCGCCACCAAAGTGGGGACCACGCTTTCTAGTAGCCTCGACGTCCCCTTCCTTCCCATATGTTGGGTGGGAAGGAGCGAGTCCTCAATGGGCCGGGCCAGACTCCGCTGGCCCGAATCTTTGTCCGGCCCGGTGAAGCGCATTTTATCTGTGGAGTCGTCGGCAGGCCCGACCCGTGGGCCGGCCCCGTTCAAGGCGTCCGTCCACATGTTGGAGGGTAGGTAGCCGGCAGCGGGGATGCGTCACGTGTCGGCACGACGCGGCTCGCCCCCAGCCGCTCCCTCCGAGAATATTAAATAAAATGAAATAAAATTTGGTTATTTACGGGAAGGCCCTCGCATAAACACAGACGGACGAATCTGCCCAGGAGCCGGCGCGTGACGGTCGAGGCCAATCATTCGCGGCTTGAAGGCCCCCAGCCGTTGACGCAGTCCAGTCTGCAGTGAGGTGGATGACGGCAGTAATTTCGAAATTATAGGGGGTTTCTTCCCCACGCGCAGCCGCTACCACCCTCCGGTCTGAAGAGACGACCCCAGCTGAGAGAGAGAGAGAGAGAGAGAGAGATATTTTGTTGTTGGGATCTCAGAGGAGGGGGGAGGGGGGGTATTTTATTACAGTGCCTGGGTTTCTCTCTCTAAAGGCCGTCCATTTCCATGGACGGATGGATCGCCGGGTCGTCCTCCCTACAAAACAAAACCAGGCTGGTTTCCTCGAGAAGAGCTAGGGCCTCGTTAAAATGTTGCCCCCAATGCCCATCGGCCTGACAGCCCTCCTCCGCCACCTCCTATCATGAACCATGGTCGCCGCCGCCCCCGCCGCCGCCGCCGCCAGCCTTGCTGCTTGCTCCGCCGCCAGTAGCCTTCGGGGAGGTGGTTCTCTGAGGAGGAGGAGGGGATGGACTACGGTGGGGTGGTGGGCATAGAAGGAGGAGGCCTTGGAGGTTCGTCCTCGCAGGGGGAGTCGACCAGGCAGAAGGTGGGCTTCTTGGGATCTGGTTTCCACACCAGGCACTTTCCGGCGGCGCCGCAGCGGGGGAAGGGCTTCTCTTCTTCTTCTTCGTCTTCTTCTTCTTCTCTCTTCTCCGACGGGAAGCAGCAGCAGATGATGATGATCAACTTCTCCTCCCCCAATGGCGGGGGTTCGCCCTACTACCACCACCAGTCCTCTGCGTCACCCCTCTTCTCTCCGCCGTCGTCCCACGGGCGGAATGCAGCAGGTAAGAAAGGGGGAGAATCTCCTCCGGGCCGTGAATTTCTTCTCTCCCTCTCGCTTTCCGGCGAGTAAATGCGGTTAGACTTTCGGTTTTCAATGAGATCGTCGTCATTCTCCTCATCCTGGTCTGTTCATGGCGTGCTCGGATCCTCGTCCTCGTCACGTCTTTTCCCCCGCATTTTGCCTTTTCCAGATGGTCCTCCTGGTTTTCTCTCTCCCCCCCCCCCCCTTCCCGCACCCCACACACACACCCCCGGTCGCCTGCTAGGGTTTCGTTTGAGCGATGGCGGATCGGAGATGAAGAAGAAGAAGAAGATGATGCATGGGGTTTTGGCAGGTGTCAGCGGGCCCTTCACCCCGTCCCAATGGCTGGAGCTCGAGCACCAGGCGCTGATCTACAAGTACCTCGACGCCAACATGCCCGTCCCCGCCAACCTGCTCGTTCCCATCAGGAAGAGCAGCCTCAACTCCTCGGGCTTCTCCTCCTACGCCGCCGCCGCCGCCGCCGCTGCTACCACCATGAGAACCACCAATTCCGGTGAGATGATCAGATCAGATCAGATCAGATCAGACTTGTTCCTCCATTCCTCCTCTTTCTGATCCTCCCTCTGGATGGATCCTCACAGTGGGGTGGGGAGCCTTCCACGCGGGCTTCACCGGGACCGCCGATCCAGAGCCGGGGAGGTGCCGGAGGACCGACGGGAAGAAGTGGCGGTGCTCCAGAGACGCCGTCGTCGATCAGAAGTACTGCGAGCGCCACATGAACCGCGGCCGCCATCGTTCAAGAAAGCCTGTGGAAGCCCACTCCGGCCACCCCCCCGCCAAGGCCGCCGCCCCTCCGCCGCCGCCGTCAACCCTGGCCGTATCCGGCATTGGGTCCTCCGCCGGCCTGGGGATCGCGCCGCCGCAGCAGCAGCAGCCGCAGAAGAACAGGTGAGAAAAGCCTCGGAAACCCCAGGGTCGAGCAGACTTGAGATTTATATAAATAATATCTGGGTGCAGATTTGCCATGGCTGCCGAGCATCTGAGCGACCAGCTATCGTGTTCTCCGACGAGGCAGAAACTTAAGAAGGAGGCCTCGTCCACCCTCCCTGATCAACAAAGGAGCCTGTTCCATGAATTCGGAGGGATCTCCTCGGAGAACCTTCTCGGCCCTCCGAGGAGCTCGTTCATGGAGATGAGGAGCGGAGAGGAACCCCAGGAGGATCATCCCCTGCGCCATTTCTTCGACGACTGGCAGCAGCCCAAGGAGGAGCCCTTCCGGCCGCCGTCGCTGGCCTGGCCGGAGGAGGAGGCGGCGCCGCCGTCCTGCAACTCCCCCACCGCGAGAGACGGAACGACCACTCTCTGCCCACTGAGGCTCTCCAGGGAAGCCGACCACCACCCCGTCTACATGAGCCTCGCCATTGGCGGAGCCCAAGCCCCAAACGAAGCTCACCAGAGGCCGCCGATGGCAGGGAGCTGGATTCCCGTCTCCTGGGAGCCCTCGATGGGGGGGCCTCTGGGAGAGGCCCTCAACAAGACCAGCAGCAACAACCCAGTGACCGGAGATGGGATCAAGACGGCGGCGGGTTCTTCAGTGCTGAATCTCATGGCGGAGGGCTGGTTGGGGTCGTCCCCCACCGGAGTCCTGCAGAAGGCCGCCGTCTTCTGCTCCATGTCCGGTAGCACCGGCAACAGCCCTCCGGCGGAGACGCAGCAGATGACCTGCGAGAGCCCCAGCTGCCTCTGCGACGACCTCCTTCTCGCTGGTCCACCCCTGTAAATTCCACCTCCATTGCCGGCGGTCTGTAGGTTCTTCGTTCACCAGGAGAACTTCCCCGTAGAAGAAGTTTCGAGCCATTAATCTCCCCCTCAGTTCTCCTTACCTCCCTTCTTCCTCCTTTTTACCCCGTAGAAGAAGAAGACGACGTCTTCCCGCTCCGCCCCTCTTCTTCTACGCAAGGTCGGAGAAGCCTGAGAGACAGCGAGAAGAGAGAGAGAGAGAGGGGGAAAAGGGAGGGCGCAGGGGTGGGTGTTGGTAAGTAAGAAGATTATTCAAATGTTTGTTCTGGTCCGGCCCAGAGAATAATGGGCGTGTTTTTGTCATTTCTACCCGTGGGTGTCTCTTTAATGCCCAGAAGTGGAAACAAATGGGCCCCGGGTATGCTAAGCTTACGTGGGTTTTAATGTATAGAGAAAACGAGTGGGCTTTCGTCGGCCCAGTAATTAAAAGATGGGCCGGTTTTTGAGTCGTCTCGCCTCAATAGAAAGGTAGACCAGATTGTGGCCCGCGGGCCCTGCCCCAGCAACTGTAAGTGTAAGCCCAATTACATATTTTTTGGCGCTTTGCCCGAAGTCAGCCCCCCTTTCATCGCTCTCTCTCTCTCTCTCTCATTCATTTGAGTGGAGAGTTTTAATACAGGAGGAGAAGACTTTCTCAGGTCGGTAGCCATCTGATCGAGAGGGAAAGCAGAGGAAACCAGAAAACCTCGCACGGAACAAGGAAATGTGGAGGCGGAAATGACCCAGACACTAAGAGTAACTATTTCGTGTCAGGGTTTCAACGCGCCACCTGCGCCAATGTCAGGCGAGGAGGGGGGACGGCGGCAGCGCAAACACGGGGCTGCATCGGCTGAAGAACCCAACTGCGCGCCGATCATCTGTGTCCCACCTCCCCCACACGAACGCAGAAAACCAGAAGACCGGCGAAGAGTAAAATCTTTAATGAATGAAGATGAAAGCCCGGTGGATCTTCCGGGGGCGGAAACCTAATGTGGAAGCGCGCATGACCCCAACGCCGTCCGAATGTCGCGTCAGGGCTTAGAAACGCCTCGAGCATTGCTGTGAAGGGGGAGGCCGTCAGACCTCGGCGAGCCCATCTATGGCGCTGGCCGGGTTAGGGTTTAGATTCCACCCCCCCACAAGGAAGCACAAACACCCTGGAATGAAATGTACCGAAGATGGGGTAGGGGAAGGCGAAAGAACAAGTCAGGGTGCGACAAGATGAATCGTCATCGAGATCGAAACCTCACCGTGCGCTCAGACAGCAGGAACGACTGCAAAACAACAAGGGGCGGCGGCCGAAAAGGCTAGTCCCGCAGACCTGGACTCGAGAATTTATAGAGAAACCCTAACCAAAGATTTTTACAGACCTGGATGGAATTTCCATGAACGGGATAAGCACTTCTGAGAAAAGACCATCTTGTCCTACCCTCTGTGTCTCTGAAGCCTCAAGTCTGAGATCCTGCTCCCTGAAAGCCCCCCGGAGGAACCCATCTCACACTAGCTTATCTTATGTTCTCAATTGAATGGTTTGCAAGAAAACATATGCCCACAGAATCTGTAGGACTGGGATTGTTCAAAAATAAATTATGATCATAATCGGACAATTCAGCCTATCTGGCTAAAGCTCACTATGAAAGACGCAATGCCATGGATTAAAGTGCCTAATCCACGTTGATCATGTAAGATCAGCAATTCGATGGCCAAATTCGCCATTAGGTTTGAAGCTCCGCCTTAAATAGATATCAATGTCCTGAAAGAGTCAAAGGCCCTCATTTTTTTTCTAAATGATCATGAAATATTTATTCACATATATATCTGTGTACTCTATACACCAACCCATTATTTTATGTAATGGCGTCACGAGGTGCTAAAATGAGAATATAAGAGGAGGAGGAGGAGGAGGGGGGAAGGGAAGGGGAGGAAGGAGTCGGGCTGGGCCGGCATCGTCTCTACTTTTGCTTAAGTAGAAGAGCAACGGAAGGACACGCTCAATGTTAAATTGAAAATAACGTTAGTTGTGTTCACCACCTTATGAATAATTTGAACTGTCGACCTTAATCATAATGATTAGTTCCTCGAACAAACCTTTTCAGAAAAAAACAAAGCTAGCCACCATTGAGGTGTTAAACTTTTGACCATATTGAGAAAATACTAGCCTGTTCTCTCTCTCTCTCTCTACAAAAATTATAATACTAAGGGGGCAAGTGGTGGATGCATTCTATACTTCCCCTCGCCTTCCTTTCTGTTTCTCAAGCACTCCCCCTCTCCCTACCAAGTGTGGTGCCATCGAGTGGGGCAGGAGATAGCAGCATTTGTCCTTCTCCTTTCCCCTCATTTTCCTTTCCATCGACTCTCCTCATCTCCCTCTTCTTCATCCATTGTGGTTCGCATCAAGTTGGGAAAGAGATGGAGACATTCTATTTTACCCTTTCCCCTCCTCTCTCACTCTCTCGTCTGCCATGGTGCCGACCATGGGGAAGGAGCCGGCAATATTCTGTATATTCTTTCCCCTCACCCCTCTCTCTCTCTCTCTCTCTCTTTCTCTCAATCTGCTACGATGGTGCCCACCAGTTGGTCAGGAGATGGTGGCTTTCCGCCTTCCGCTTTCCCCTCCGATTCGTTCCTCTCCGTGTCTTTCTCCATCTACCATTGTGCCCACTCACTAAGTGGAGCCGTGGATGGTGGGAAAGGTTGTTCCCTCTTCATCTCCATCCATAGCATGACACTGGCGGCAACAAAGTTCGCTGAGGTACTGACCACCGCCTAAACAGTGGCCTCTAGATATCATTTCGCATCCGAGAGCTCATTGCACAGGTGGATGTGAGATGGTGTTGGACGACCTCAGTCATGAGGCGATTCCCTTTCCATGGACTAGCAACTTGTCGTCATACTTCTTAACTCTTTTTTTCAAATTATTTTCATTTATTTTTTTTGATATATGTGCATGTATAGAGTCATTTAACAATTTGTTTGATAATTTGCACAGAAAACTTACTTTCTATGCATGCATTAATTACTAAGGGGAGATGCAAGTAAGATATATATTACAGATAGCGACTCAAATTTGAATTACGAAATTATAATAACCGTAATGGAAATTTTACAAAAAGAGAATTTGTGTGATGATACTGGTACGAGTTACTTCGGAGATAACTATTGAAATGTACCTTCATAAAGCTATGTTACATCTAATTCGATATTGCTTCAAGGGTGGAAGGCAATGAAATCATTAACGCATGTCGTCAAAATATATAAATGAAAGTTAGCCTCAAGTTTAGTGACTTTGGAAACTTTAAATGTTACATTATGATAAAACTACATAGAATCATAGGTTAAAGTAACATCCATTAAGAATGACAATATGGGAGATATGGTGAAAACTGCTAAATTAGAATGTATGTGGAGGATACATCCATCTTTATGATCTCATATAAGGCTAAATCATGTCACAATGTTGACTACCAATCATACTCACATATCTAGCAAATATAATGCCAATAATAAGATGAAATTTGTATCAAATTAAGAAAATGTTAGACAAAGGACTTTGTATAAAAAATAATGTTGGATTAAATATCAAATTATTCGAACTAGACAAAGAACTCTATATTCACGATAATGTTATGTTAAGTATCAAGTTATTCTCATGTAAACAAAGGAACCCAGCTACCTCATTGTCACATTAAGACAACTTCTCATTAAATATAGAGGATTAATGTCCCTCATTATGGAAATTGGGATAATTAATTAGGAAAGAAAATTTCTTATGACAACATCGCAAGAATCTAAAAGGTTTATAAAAGGGTGGATTCTATATTATAGACGTAATTAAGGAATAAAATTAATCCTCTTATGAATTAAAGGAAATTGTCTACTTGTTTCATGAAGGTACCATTTGAAAATACATTATTAGCTGTAGTCTAAAAGATTAAAGGATTGGCATTTAGTAATATTATTTAGATAATTTTGATGACATATATATTATTTGAAACGGACTGTCCTAGTTATACTTGATGGAAATTTATGTTTTGGAGATCAAGAATGTGGTTTGTATCATTTTCTTGATGTTTGCACTATTTGAATTGTATGCAAGGAGTACATTATATTAAACCATTTTTCTTTTGACCAAAATTTCAATATTAAAGGCACAATGGTGCAAAGTTAACTCATGAGCAATATATTATATTATATATTCATTAAGAAATTAAGTTTTCCTTTAACAAATAAGGGAGTAAAACTATCTTTGACAAAAGCACATGGTTTTATTCAAATAGTTGTATCATATCTTGAGACTGCTTCTCATGATTAGTAAAAAAAAAACTAAGAGATTAAATATAATTTACATGGACGGAAAAATGAAATAAAGAGATGACTATACAAAACTCTGCAAGGAAAATATCATGGTAAAGTATTTTGGGACTGCAATCACGCCCAATTGAACTTTGAAGAGGATAGTTCATGATATAAAAACATAAAGTCCCAGTCCTACACTCTTTTCCCAAAATGAAATTAATTCTTTAATGAACTTGTTGGAAAGGGAACTCAACACACCTTACATGATCAAAAGATATGGACCACTTTACTTGTGTCTAATTGGTTTTTGATTAGCATGACGTCTTGCTTCTTTAATATTACTATTTCACATTTCTTGTCTTGTCTCACACCACATACTCTTAGTAGTGATTACAAGTCCTCGTATGTAATGAGCCAAACACTTAATTCTTGATCAATCTTTTATGAGAAGCCAAACCACATGGTTGACTCGAAAAATATCACTCCACTATTATAAGCCTCATATAATTCTAAGTACATAGATAGCATGTACTAATTAAGGGTGGGTACCATGGACCTCAAAATTTGTGGAGAGCCTAAGCTCGATTTATTCATAAAACCCATTTTCCTAAAGTAAAATGTGGATCCGTAGGTACACATGTGCCTATGTGTGCGTGTAGCGGCATATGCAAGATGTACTTTATGTCTTAGTCTTTTATGAGCCCA